GAGTTTTCTAAAATTCCGCACCATCTCACACGTTAAGACAAAGCTGCCTCACAGGCTAAGGCTCAGTGAAATCTCAGGCCTTAATGAGACTTGTTCACACATTGTTGAAGCTCATATCCGTGCGCTGAAGTCTTGGAGCCTGAGGACAGATGGAAACATTTGGAAGAGACAACACTTGCTCTCTGTAGGAGCGGCTCACTGGATTAACATGCAGATGCAGAGCCTGAATTAATGGCGAAGGCAATTTGCATCTTTTCTTAAATTTGGAATAAAGACAAATGCAAATTGCTACTGCCAGGTTCCAGCTTCCGAGCGACGCTCACTGCCAACGGAAAAACAGGAACGAGTCTACCCTTGGAGGCTCGAGCCAGACAGCTCCAACACTGGTGATGATGCATGAGCGAGCCTGGCAGGACAATCACTAGGGGCTGGAATTCTTCTCATTCAACTGCAACTCTTTCACTAAATAGTAATAATAATCTTTGCATTTTATACAGAGCCTTACCATGTCTTTGGGACGTCTTAAAGCATTTCACAGAATATACTGTAAAGTGAATTGACTCTGTATTATGTGGGCGAAACACGGCAGCCAATTGCACGCAGCAGTGTCCTCACAAACAGCCGTGGTTTGAATGACCAAATTTTTTTTGTGCCCTCCTTGGTGGGAGAGGTGTTCTTGTCTCCTTGAAGCTGTGCTGAGGTGGCTCCAAGGTACCACATTTGGCAATAGATAAGATGGAAATAAATCAACCTTCTGTGGAGGTTGCGTTTGTCCAATTCCTGAGCCAGATGGTCTGCAGTACTCCAGAGCACCTGCTAATGACAGACCAGCCAGTCAGCTTGGTTCATGGCTTTGGAGAGGTAGACCTAGACCAGGGATTCATACCACTCTACTGCTGTTAACCCTGTAAGCCAAAAAACTAATGGGTAGAGTAGTCCTAGCTGGACAAGTAGTGAGAAATTTGCCAGACAGAGCTATCAAGGATAATCTGCGCTGTTTTAGCTGGTTAGACTCTAGCAGTTACCCCAACGCACAACCTGGGGTCCTTAAGCCTTGACTCTCTCCAACCTGTGCCTCTCTAGAATTAGATAAGCAGGATGCTTCCCTCTAGGGAGAGAGTGCATGTTCTATTCCTGTATTCTGTTTCTAATTCTATTCCACTAACTCTGGAACTCCCTCACTTGACCCCCTCGGTCCTAATCCTTCACCACCACCTGTCTTTGTGTTCTCCCTTAAGACTATAATCACCTCCCACCTACCCCCACATCACTCAGCATCCATCCAGCCATTATAAAGTGCTCCAAGATGTTATTCTATGTTAAGAACGCTAAATACAGTAGATGTGAGTTGTTGCTGTTGTTCTGGTTGAGACATAGAATGGCCACAGGGATTAAGCTTATGGTATTTCTTATAATAATAATATTACTAATCATTGCATTTGATATAGCGCCTTATCACAGCTTCAAGCGGTCTCAAAGCGCTTCGCAGAATATACTGTAAAGTGTAGTGACTGTATATTTTGTGGGCGAAATGCGTGTATTCTGTCAACATAAGGAATGCATTATTAACCACTGTAAACTCTATCGGGCCTGTCACCCTCACAGATGACGAGGTGGGTGGAGGGAGAGAGAGAGGGAGGGACGAATGATTGAAACCTACTAACTGGTAGTGGATAGAAATATATTTCTGTTTGAATTGAAGCAGCTGTCGTAAAACAATTTGAATGTCAAATATAGGAACGCAGTTCCCTTAACAAGGACCATTGTCTAAAGAGCTGCTCTGCAAAATTACTTATTGAATTTACACAGCAATAAGGAGAACATTACTAAGTCACTTAGTCACTCAGGCTAATGGAGGAACTGTATACACTGGAGACAATTTATGTTGGTGGAACTGGTTTGGATGATTATATATTGTCCAAATATATCTGTTTAGACAAATAAGATAATAATAATAATCCTTGCATTTGATATAACGACTTATCACATCTTTGAGACGTCTCAAAGCGCTTCACAGAATATACTATAATGTGTAGCGACTGTATATTTTGTGGGCGAAACGCAGCAGCCAACTGCACACAGCAGCGTCCCACAAACAGCTGTGGATTGAGAAACCACATTATTAATTTTGATAAGGAAGCTATTACTTTTTACAAATGTCTTCCAAGCGATACGTCTCAAAGACGTGATAAGGCGCTATATCCAATGCAAGGATTATTATGATGATTATTATTACAGATCATTTAATTGCAACAGCCATTGTGCACAGTAGTGTTCCACAAATAGTTGTGGATTGAGTCACCAACTTATTATTTTTTTATGAAGGAATTATTACCTCCAGATCTGGCAACCAACTAGCAACCAGGTTCCCACTTACTGCCAGGTGAACAGAGGCGGGTGAAGGGATGTTTTAAAGATCTTTAATTCTCTGTTGCTGATCGCGCAGTGTTCAAGGGAAAGAACTGAGAAAAGGTACCAGATAAACCAGGGCTTGTCAGCCTTGAATAGAGACATCTCAGAGGGCATGTGATCAAGGTGTGTGAGAAGATATTGGGGATTGAGGAAATAAACCCAGCAGAATACTTTCAGCCAATTCAAGGCAGCAGAAGACAACGTCAAGAAGAAGACGAGGGCAATGTCAGACAGATGGCAGAGGAAGTATTTCTTCACACATGGGAGTGGTGAACAGCTGTTTCTTTACACGACAGCTGGAGCAGGTTACCATGACGGGTGTCAGGGGCCGGGACGCTGGCTGACTCTATCGTGGAAGACAATAGGGAACGAATCCTGTTTGCAAACATCTCAAATTGGGTCCCGGTGAGGGACAGCAATGACATCAAGCCATTTTTTATGTATGTGGCGCTTGAGATGTAATGACATGCGTGTGTATGTGCACGCGTGTTTATGCGAGTGTGTGTGTGAGTGGGTGTTCGTGTGTATGTGTGCGTGAGTGTATGTTCGAGTGTGTGTTTGTGTGTGTGATGGGGGGTGGTGGGGGGAGGCCATGGGGGACGAACTGTTGTCTTGTGACCTTGAGACACTTAAAGGAATTGCTTCTCTTCCCACTTCCCGGATATTTACTATTGAGCACTAATGTGTCATGACGTCAGGTGAAGGCTCTGATTGTGAGAGTTTTTAAAGCAGTTTAAAACGGCTTCATTTCCCAAGTGCAGCCCAAACAGCGAACCAGAGCAGCGTATCACACACACGTAGACTATAGGGAACGAATTCCGTTTGCAAACAGCTCAAATTGGGAGGACGACAAATTGAAGACTTCTAATAAGATTTAGATTTCTCACCTTCAGCTTTTCCTTATTTCAACCCTATTTGCTTCTTAAAATGACACTTTCATTCTTTTTTTCCTTACTGCCATTGCACGCAATGTGTTGATCTCTGCCTCTGGCAATTAAAATATTTTTTTTAAAAACTCACCCGTGAGCATGAGAAGCGGCTGTGTGTGTGTGTGTGTGAATGCTCCGGCCTCGTGAGAATGGTTTGAATTGTAAGGATAAAGGTTTTTACAACAACAACATCTTGGATTTCTATCGCGCCCCCCACGCCGGACAGCGTCTCAGAGCACTTTACAGTAACGGATCCTGGGACCGAGCCATGGGGAGGGGGGGGAGCCGTGGGAAGGGGGGGAGCTGGGGGAGGGGGAGGAGCCAGGGGAGGGGTGGAACCAGGAGAGGGGGAGGAGCCAGGGGAGGAGCCAGGGGGAGGGGGTGGAGCCAGGGGAAGGGGGGAGAGCCCAGTGGGAGGTGGAGGGGGAGGAGCCAGGAGAGGTGGAGGGGGAGGAGCCAGGGGAGGGGGAGGGGGAGGAGCCAGGGGGAGGGGGAGGAGCCGTGGGGAGGGGGAGGAGCCAGGGGGAGGGGGAGGAGCCAGGGGGAGGGGGCGGAGCCAGGGGAGGGGCCGTGGGGAGGGGCGGAGCCAGGGGAGGGGGAGGGGCCAGGGGGAGGGGGCGGAAGGTGACCAAAGGAGCGATCGAAAAGAAAGGTCTTCAGCAGAGACCTGAGAATGGGAAGAGAGGGGACGAGACGAAGGGAGTGAGGAAGGCAGTTCCAGAGTACTCAGAAGTAACGTTTTTTTTTATTGTGTCTTTAACAGGAGGATAAACCGTGTCTCTGCAGTCAATGGATATAGTGCTCCACTTAATAATAATAATAGACCTTACATTTGAAATAGCGCCTTATCACGTTGTTGAGACATCTTCAAAGCATCGCAAAGTGAATTGATTGTGTGTTTCGTGGGTGAAATGCAGCAGCCAATTGAGCACAGCAGCAGATTTACAGTTCTGTGTAAAGGAGCGCGTTGTTTCTGTAGTGAGCACCAGCACAATGCTAATGAAACAGCACCAGTATATAGCTGGGGGCTAGAGAGAGGTGAGAGAGCTCTGTAATAATAATAATAATCCTTGCATAGGATATAGTGCCTTATCAAGTTTTCGAGACATCTCTTTGAAGACAGCTGTAAAAAACAATAGCTTCTTTATCAAAATTAATAATATGGTCACTTCAATCCACGACTGTTTGTGGACACTGCTGTGCGCAATTGGTGTTTCACCCACAAAATATACAATCAATCCATTTCAGTTTATTCTGTGAAGCGCTTTGAGACATCTAGAAGACGTGATGAGGCGCTATATCAAATGCAAGGATTATTATTGTTATAAAATAAAGCCAACCTATCTTTTTCTGTTGTAAAGGAGCGTGTTGTTAAAGCCCTGTTTTTCCGAACGTGACCCCTGACCTCCTACAGAGTCCTACTGGGAATGTTGAGAACGTCTGCAATAGAGTTGAATCGACGCTCCTGACTACACACAGTACAGATTCCCTTAAAAGACAATAATTACGATGTGCTGTTTATTACGATTCAGATATTCTATACAGTAAACCTCAAGCCCCCACTTGATAGGAAACCATTGCAAAGTTTCCTCATTGTAATAGGCTCATTAAAACTGACTGGACAGGGGTGGAGGGGAGTGGAAGGGGGTTTGGGTGGGGGGGGGGGGCAGTGCTGGAGCAACCTGTGGGGAACCATCTTTACTCTTGACAACTTAATTGGTTAGTTTGGCTGGTGTGGTAATAAGTCCTCTTTCCAGTTTCTGATTGCAATCATTGTGATGGTTCCAGTGACGTGTCTCCAATAGATGTGAGGGATGGTCAACGATTAACACACTGGCTGGGCCCTGTTGCCCCCATCTTCACACACAAGGGTTCATCCTGACATTTGGGGGTGGTGCATGAGGAAGTCTTGGGATAGAAGTCCTTTCTGAATGACTGGGAAAGCCAGTGGCAATCGCAAGAGAAACAAACGAAAGTACATATCAACTGAGACAGCGCTCGCTTCCACAAAACCAAATAAACCAGGCGAGGATCCTGACCCTTGTATTGTGCTGATGGTTTTGTCTCTTCTTCTGTATTATAGTGTCACAGATAAAAGTTCCCAGTGAAACTACAGCGTGGAGCCGTTGGGAAGAGGGATCTTGATTCCCAGTTTGACCAGCACTAGACAGACGCCCAGCCCGGTTAGGCCTGCAGCCACCACGCCCAGCAGTGCCTTGGCAAAGGAGCGGCGGGACCGACGGAAGTCGCCGGGAGCTAGGATGCTGAGCAACGCGGTGTTGACGGTCAGTGTGTACAGGATGGACACGGCCGTATTCAGAGCCACAATCTTCCCGAACTTGGCGAAGGGAGCGATGATGCAGAAGAAGAGGGGGATGGTGGCAATCACCGTGGTGATGGCGCTGGAGACAATGGCCACACCGACGTGCCGCACCGCGCCCAGTGTCCTCCACTGCCCCTTTCTGCACTTGTCCTGTCAATCATACATCAGGATAGTCAACAAAGCACTCATCAGACACCACCACTACCGCCAACAACAACAAACTATATTTACACAGCGCCTCTCACATTAGGTCATCCCAAGGCACTGGACAGTCAGGGATCCGCACCCGAGCTGGTGGCCAGGATCAGGAGGGATGGAGGGCGGGGAGGGGAGGGGTAGGATTGTGACCGAAGGCATGGTCGAAGAGAAGGGTCTTGAGACAGGTCTTGAAGGAGGTAATGGACAAGGTGAGGCGGAGGGACTGCGGGATAGAGTTACAGAGGGTGGTGCCGGTTCTACTGCAGCTATTTGGTTAGCGAAGAGAGTTTTCTCCTGGTGTCCTGCCCAACTATACGCCCCCCACCCCCAATAAAATCGGTCACTCACTTCATAGCTGTCTGAGAGACATTCCTGGGAAACTGGCTGCCTTGTGTGCCTACAAAACAGTCACTGTACTTCATAATCTTGACGACGTGTAAGGCGCTATACCAAATGCAAGGATTATTAGTATAGCGAGGATAACCAAAAAAAACCTGATCATGGCATTTCTCTGGAGATCCCTGTCTCAACACTTCTGCCTCACTCCTCACTTTAAATCCCAGTTGAAGACCCAACCTCTATGATGACCTTCTCCTACCCTCTTGCTCGGCATTCAAACCCATGTGCGGGTGGTGTGTAAAAACAAGTTGTTGTGGTGATTCTTGCTGTACTTGGGGACGGGTATCTCATTGCTCTGGCTGTTGACTATCAGGACAGAGATCCCGAATGTAGAGGCATTTGAATCAGCCCCTTGTCACGTCGTTCAGATGTCTCAAAGCGCTTCACAGGATATACTGTAAAGTGATTGACTGTAAATTGTGGCGAAAGTGGGAGTGGCAGCTGTCTTCGCACAGCGATGTCCCACAAACAGTTGTGGATTGAGTGACCAAATTATTATTATTTTTTGAAGGGATTATTATCCCCGGAAAACTGATTCACCGATTGACTAATAACTTACGGCTGGTAAACAGAGGCTGTGGAGTAAGGAAACTTGCACAACGTTTTGCCCTGCCCGGGAATCAAACCCAACTCCTCTCGCTTGCGAGGCGAGAATACTAACCACAACTCTACATGGCTCCATTCCAAGATGGGAATTAGAGCAGCCTCACAAGCCTATGTGCGAAGAAATGACCAAAGAAACCAAAGCATTAACTAGAAAAGGGGGTCTCAGGTGACTTACGCCAGTCTCAGTGATCGGAAGGTGCTCTCCTGCCAGCAAGTAGCCTTCCACCAGATGGACACAGTAATCCACGGAGGAGCCCACTAGGATAGACAGTGAGGTGGCTTCCACTGCGCCCATTTCCCATCCCAGCCAGTGCATAATGGCAACCACCAAACAGATGACACCTGGCAAAGCAAAATGGACAAACACATCTCACCAAGTGCCACCAGTTGAATTGTACTGCAGTTGCACTGCAAAAGGAGCCCATTCATATTGTGTTCATGCTGGTGCTCGCTCCCTCCCACCTGTCTGCTCTAATCCCATTTCCTCTGCTTTCCCCATTGTGTCTGTGCAGGTCTTCGCTCGCCACTGGAGCCCTCTCTAACAGCATTCCCTGCTCTCTCGGCCTTGGTGTCAGTGCTGGTGCATTAAAACCAATTTTATGTGGAGGATTGTGAGCTAGGACATCGGCGAGAGAATCTCCTTATATGGAGTCAGATTGAACTCCTGAGGACCCACATTGAGTTGGTTGCTATGTTTTATTTTGGGCTGTCGGCAGCTGGGCAGGAGCTGAGATGGGATCAGAGACCGGGAGCTCATCACTCAGGACAGCATGGAGACTTCACACCAGTGTTAATTAGTTAACGAAACAAATCCACGGCTTTCCTCTTGACTTCCTGTCTCGATTGGCACAAACAAGGAGCACATTAAGGCACACTGCAGAGGTCCCTGAGTGTCCGAGTTAATTTGCCCTAATTTTTTGGGGGGGAAATTCTCGAAAGTTTCAGGAGTGGTACGTATTTGCTGGGGAATTTATGCTAGGCTTTTATTTCAGTGTGTGTGTGATTCATTGTTTATAGCACAGAATGTGCGTGTCCTGTTTTTGTGCAGATGGCGATGTAGAATTGAGAGAGTTCAGAGTTGCAGGGGGTTTGCAGTGAGGTGGAGATGTGGACCCTGACTCTGACCTTGACCTTTCAGTCCACCTCCTGTGGTAGAATACGGAAAGCTGCTCATTTCAAATGTGTTTTGTTCAGTATATGCTCAATTTNAAAAATAATAATAATTTGGTCATTCGAAGCTCGACTGTTTGAGGGACGCTGCTGTGCGCAATTGGCTGCAGCGTTTCGCCCACAAAATATACAGTCACTACACTTTATACAGTATACGACCTTCTTTTTTGATCTTGCTTGCAGTCACCTCTGCCTCGCCCCCCACCACCACCACCCCACCACCCCCCACTGACTCTGCCACTGTCGAGCTGAGAGATGCCTTACCCAGGATGGTCAGCAGGACGGGCAGGAGGAGCATCAGGTGGGTGGTGAAGATGGCCACGGCTGCGATGCATATGACCAGCGAGAGGATCAGGCTGTACAGAGCGCTCTGGACACCTGAGGGCAGAGAGAGCCACATAGTCAGTCAACGCCACTGACAATGGCAGCTCCACCCTCCCACTGGATGACATCGGCACTCCTCCCACTTGGAATTAGGCCACATTACAGAGAAAGGAGGGGAGGGAGGAAGAGATGGATGGGGTGGGGGGGGTGGTGGGTGGGTGAGGGAGAAAACAGTTGATGAAGAGGAGAGTGAGGAAGAGATGAAGAAGGAGGTAAGAGGGAAGAGCAGGAAGAGCAGCATGATGAATATACCCTGTGGGAGGTGGAAACCTCTGCAGTGGGGGTTGGGGTGGGGGGGGGGGAGGTAGGAGGGCGACTGAATGCATGGTCCAAGAGGAGGGTTTTGAGATGGGCCTTGAAGGAGGTGGGGGTAAGGGGTGAGCCAGAGACTGATAGAGTTCCAAAGGGTGGAAGCACAGATGCTGAAGGCCCGACCGCTGATGGTGGGGCGGGCCGAGCGGGGGGCGTGAAGCAGGCTGAGCCAGTTGAGCGGAGACAGACGGACAATACCCCCACCACCTCACCTATGATCTCCATGAAGATTTGCTTCCAGTGTTCACATGTCTGGAAACCATGCTGCAGTGACGAGGTCGCCGAAAACTGGATCAACTGCTTCTGCAGGAACGTCTCCCACTTTAGGTAGTCAGAGTAGGTCTGGAAGGAAGACTTCCCTTTGTAGGTGGTCTGATACAAACAGAGAGAAGTCAGTGCAGCATACGGCCATATCTCCTACTGGACAAGCCTCATCTCGCGTCCCACTTCCATTCACATCTCACCCGCAACATCAACAACATCAATAAATTGCTTTTGTATAAATGTAATTTTGTTGTTGTTTTATAGTGCCTTTCATGTCGGGAGTATGTCCCAAGGCGCTGGACAGTCAAGGATTTGCACCCAAGGTACAAGTTGGAGTCAAGTGGAGTGGAGGGCAAGGAATGGTGGTGGCGGTGGGAAGATGACCAAAGGCGCTGTCGAAGGTCTTGAGACAGGCCTTGAAGTCAGAAGGGAGGGGGACGAGGCAGAGGGGCTCTGGAATAGAGTCCCAGAAGTTGGGGGCAGAGAGGCTAAAGGCTCTCCATCCACATCTCCCACTTTCACATTCCTCTTTTTTAAACCAGGGCGGTTTGATATAAAACTCCTGCTGATTTTAAGCAGCAAATTCACCTCTAGTACAGTGGCTGCCCCCTTCCTGACTTGGAGTTGATGGTTTGGCCAAAAGTCGACCATCTTTGTTCGCACAGCAAGTAATGGATTGGATCTGCTGCACGGACAGCTACGTACCTCAGTTGGAGTTTGCGGCCCCAACAGAAAGTCTCATATGTTTTATTTGACCAGGTTGGACAGATTCCATCCTGGGTGTGGTGATAAACAAAAATCTCAAGCAGCAGATGGCAAAAGAGAGTAGAGAAAAGCCACGATATCTTCAAATGGGACAGAGAATTGGGGTCTAATTCACACCGATTCCCAAACGTGATTGCTTTTGAGTCTTCGTGTGATTTATTAACAAAGGAATCTGAGTGGAATTCTTCCCAGTAACGTGGAGAATGTCACACGATCCCGTGGGAACCCTCACTCCGAATGTAGGTCGCTCAGGGCGGGGGTTGGTGGGAGGATGGGAGGCAGAATTCCTGGGAGTTGGTATGAGGTATTTCTGAGGTTGTATACTTAAGGAATCATGGTAGAAACTGTGTTAAACCAGGCTCCGGAATAGACCCAGTGCAATACTAATAATAATCCTTGAATTGGATATAGCACCTTACTACGTCTTCGAAACGCCTCAAAGCGCTTCAGAGAATATACTGTAAAGTGGAGTGACTGAATATTTTGAGTGATAAATATGGCGACCATTTGCACACAGCAATGTCCCACAAACAGTCATGGATCGAGCAACTAAATTTTTTTTAGGGGATTACTACACCTGGAAAAGCGAACTGCCGATCGACTAACAACTGGGTTGCTACTTACTGATAGGTAAACAGAGGCGTGTGGAAAAAGGAAACTTCCAGAAGGTTTGGCCCGGCTGGGAATCAAACCCAGTTCCTCTCGCTTGCGAGACAAGTGCTCTAACCACTGAGCTAGATTACAATGAACTGTCTGATCTGCATTACCACAGGGCAAGAGGGTGCAGATTTAGAGGACGTGAAGTTGGCCAGGCACTGGGAGGGATTTTAATTGATAAATAATCCTTATGTTTGATACAGCGCCTTTCACATCAAGAGGATTGCTTCACAGGATAAAATGTAGTGACTGTGCTTTTGTAGATGAACATAGCAGCCAATTTGCAGACCGCAATGGCCCACAAACAGCCATGAAAGGAATGAATGCTTTTATTCGGGGATTTTGACTAAGTCAATGAGAGAGAGAAACTTCCTTCTCTTTCGAATAGTGCTATGGCATCTTTTAAAGTCGTGCAGGCGTTAAAAGGGAGGCCTCAGTTTGACGCAGGGACCTCAGTTTAACATTTCATCTGCATGATGGCACCTCCGTGTGTATGTTTCCCCCAGCGCTGCACTGGAAGCATCAGTTTAGTCTACCCAATTCCCTTTTGAAAGCTATTATCTAATCTTTTTCCACTACCCTTTTAGGCAGCCTATTGCAGTCTGTAACAATTCTCTGGGTAAAAAAAAATATCTTTGTCTCCCCTCTGGTTTTCTTGCCAATTACCTTAAATCTGTGTTCTCTGGTTATTGACCCACCTGTCAGTTTTCCTTATCTACCAAAAACCTAGCTCATGGCAATGATTAGACNAAAAACATTATTATATTAAAATAATAATATTGATTCTTATAATCATAAAAATGGCTGTCAGTAGGTCCTGCTCTTTGGGAACAATAAGTAAGAGTTATTTGGGTTTTTCTTTGATCTTAAGTAAAACATCTCATGATCACTGTTGGCTTACAGACTCGAAGGCCATGGAAATCCACTGGACTTTGCCATCTTTTACTCCGATGGCACCGTGGGAGAGCTGCCCGGGAAGCAGGTTGGGCTCCGGAATGTTCTTACACTCCGGGTGTAACATTTGCAAGAAGGCAGAAACACTGTAACCTGCGCGAGAGAGAGAGAGAGAGAGAGGGGTAAATATGTACCGTGTAAGTTGCATTTTTATAGCTTTTTTCTCAAACTACGGTTCAAGCAAAAAGCATCAACAACAACAAATAACATTTACACAGCGCCTTTCATGTTGGGAGGACGTCCCAAGACTCTGGGCAGTCAAGGATTTGCACTTGAGCTGGCGATTGGGATCAGGAGGGGTGGAGGGCAGGAGGGGTCAAAGAGGAACGTCTTGAGACGGGTTTTGAAGGGGGCAATGGTAGGTGGCAGACAGGCTGAAGGCCTGACTGCTGATGTTGGGGAGTGTTGCACGGGGGATGTGAAGCAGCCCGGAGTCCACCGAGTGGAGGGAATATTTAAGAGGAAACTTCATGCGAACATAGGAACAAAGGAACAGAAGTAGGCCATTCAGCCCTCAAGCCTGTTCTGCCATTCTATTAGATCATGGCTGATCTGTACCTCAACTCCAAATCTATAAAGGAGAAGGGAATAGAAGGTGTCGGAGAGGGGAATAGGAAGATGGAGGCTAGTAGGTAGTATAAAAATCACACCACTGGCTGAATGGCCTGTTTGCACACTGAATATCACTGAATAATTCTGTACCTGAGGGCAGGCACTGAGCTCCTCCCATCTTCACCAGCTCAGAATTGCTGCTGATTGCTTTGCAGATCTTACACAGATTCCCAATCTCTCTGAACAGGTCAAAGCTCTGATCGTAGATCACACTGCCCTTTCGTAAGGAGAGAGAAAGGGAGGAAGAGAATAAGTCAGATGGAAAACAAAGAGAGCACCTGGGTTTGATTCCCGGACAGTTTGAGACATAGGGCAGGTTTCCTTACTCCATATGCCTCTGTTTACCTAACAGTAAATAGCAACTGGGTTGTTAGTCGATTGGCTGATCGCTTTTATTGGAGTAATAATCCCACATATAAAAAAATTTGGTCACTCAATGCATGACTGTAAAGTAAATTGATGGTATATTTTGTGGGAAAAACATGACAGCCAATTGCACACAGCAGCGTCCCCACGACAGGCAAGGATTGAAATGGCCCATTTATTATTATTATAAGTTTCTTTGAAGGAATTATTACCCCTGGAAAAACGATCTGCCAATCGACTAATAACCAGATTCCTACTTACTGCTAGATAAACAGAGGTGTGTAGAGTAAGGAAACTTACCCAATATTTCGCCCTGCTGGGAATCGAGCTCAGGTCTCTTGCTTGCGAGGCGAGAGCTCTAACCACTGAGCTACAGAACTCCACGAATGTTCTTCGAGTGACAGTCTAGACAATGTGAGTATAAATTCCAGACTTGGGACTTGAATCCACAAACTGCTGACTCAGAGATGTGAAAGCCAGCGACCGAACCAAGTTGCAACCTATCCATTGTTTTATTTTTTGGTTCAGGCGGGTGTCTGACACGTGCGGGAACCCATCACGGTGTTTAAGAGTATCCAAACCAAGATGAAATTTCCATTAATCCCACCTACACATGGATATCCCAGAGATAGATTGTTGGAATCCATAAATTGTCAAAGTGGAGATTGGCAGTGACTTGGTGGAGTTGACATTTCCCTGTGTTGCTTTTCCCCTCGGCCTCTGTATGATAGAGATCAAATTCAAGCTTCTGAATGTTTTGTGAACAACAACAACAACAACAAGATTCCATTTATAAAGCGCCTTTCACGTCAGGAGGACGTCCCAAGGCGCTGCACAGTTGGGTCATGACCCGAGCAGGGGGGAAATGGTCAGGGTGAGGGGAGGGAAGGGAGGGAGAGAGGAGGGGGGAAATGGTCAGGGTGAAGGGAGGGAAGGGAGGGAGCGAGGAGGGGGTAGAGAGTCGAGAGGGGAGCTGAAGGCACGGTCAAAGAGAAAGGTTTTGAGACCGGCCTTGAAGGAGGAAAGGGAGGAAGCGGCGAAGGCACTGGGGGATGGAGTTCCAGAGCCTCGGGGCTGAGAGGCTGAAGGCCTGACCACCGATGGTAGGGCGGTTGGGGCGGGGGACGTGGAGCAGACCGGAGCCAGAGGAACGGAGGGTACGGGCAGGTAGGTAGGGGGATAGTAGGTTGGAGAGGTAGGAGGGAGCGAGGCCGTGAATGGCCTTGTAGGTGAGGATGAGGATCTTGAAATCAATCCTCTGGGGGATGGGGAGCCAGTGGAGGGAGCGAGGGTGGGAGTGATGTGGTCCCGAAGCCTGGTGCGGGACAGTACACGAGCTGCAGAGTTCTGAATGACCTGCAGTGTGGAGGGAGGTGGCGGGAAGGCCGGCGAGGAGAGAGTTCCCGTAGTCCGGCCTTGAGGTGACAAAGGCGTGAACCAGGGTTTCAGCAGCGTGAGGGGTGAGGTAATGCCGTAGTCTGGCGATATTCCGGAGGTGATGGAAGGCGGTGCCAGTTGTGGTGCGGATGTGAGGGAGAAAGGACAGCTCAGGGTCGAACAAAACGCCGAGGTTCCTGACTGGCTTTGAGAGGTGGAGAGTGCAGCGCAGTTGGGAGGCGACAACTCTTTCCAAGACCTTGGAGAGAAAGGGGAGGTTGGAGATGGGCCGGTAACTTGATAGCTGCGACGCATCAAGGGAGGGTTTTTTCAGGGTGGGCGTGATGATGGCAGTTTTTAATGGAATGGGGACAGAGCCAGAGGAGAGGGACAGGTTGATGATGTCAGTGATATGTGGGGCAAGAAAGTGGAGCTGGGAGATAAGGAGTGGAGTGGGGATGGGGTCAAGGGAGCAGGTGGTTGGTTTTAGGGATAGGATGAGTTCAGTGACAGAGGGTGGGGAAACGGGTACGAAGGTGTGTAGGGGAGGATGGGTAGGAGTCGGAGTGTGGGAGGGAAGGGGTGGGTGGTGGGTGGAAGTTGGAGGGGAAGTGACCGCGGAGCGGATTCCCTTGATCTTGGATTCAAGGAAATCCAGCATCTCCTCGCAGTGAAGGTTGGAGGAGATGACCTGCGCGGGGTGGCGGGGGGGACGGAGGAGTCGGGTTGTGGTGGAAAACAGTAGCCTGGGGTTGTTCTTCGCCTCCAGGATTATCCTGGAGTAGAAGGACGACTTGGCCGAGGCTAGAGTGGAGCGGTAAATTTTGAGGAGGTCCAGCCAGATTTGTCGGTGGACCGTTAGGCCAGATTTGACACAGGTGCGTTCAGCAGCCCGCACCTGGCTTTTCAGTGAGCGGAGGTGGGTGGTGTACCAGGGGGAGGAGCGGGAGTAGGAGACAGTGCGGGAAGTGATGGGGGCAAGAGTATCGAGTGTGGAGGAGAGGGTATTGTGGAGGAGGGAGAGAGGAGAAGAGGGGTCGGTGAGGGTTGAAGGCCAGAGGGAGAGGAGTTCAGAGGACTCCAAGGCATCGGTTAGGGATTGTGGGGGTAACTTCTTCCAAGGGCGGTAGAAGATGGTGGTGGGTCTGGTGGAGGTGGGGAGGGGGGTGGAGGTGGTGAAGGAGATGAAGTAGTGGTCAGAGATGGCCTTGTCGGTAATAGTGACATCCGAGACACTGAGGCCCCGGGTGATCACCAAATCGAGTGGGTGGCCGTGACTGTGAGTGGGGGAGTTTATGTGTAAGGAGAGGTTGAGTGAGGAGAGCAGGGAAGAGAAGTCTGTGGAGATGGAGCAGGAGGGTGTGAAGTGTAGGTTAAAGTCGCCCAGGATGATGAGGCGATCAGAGCAGAGGCAAAGAGATGTGAGGAGTGTTGAAATGTCAGAGATGAAGGTGGGAGAGGTTTTAGGGGCCGGTAGAGGAGGAGGATTTTAAGGGAGAGGAATGAGGGGTGGGAGAGGGTGAGGTGCTCAAAGGAGGGGAAAGAGCCAGTGGAGTAGGGGGATAGGGCAAGTGGTGTCCTTGAGATAAGGGCAACACCACCGCCACGGCGCCACCAACAATAAGATACTGTTTTATATACAACCCTTGAATTTGTGCATATCTTTACATAGGAAGCATACTTGCCTAGAAAAGGATAATGCAATCCATCTGGACCAGCATATAATAATAATAATAATAATAATTCTTGTATTTGATATAGCGCCTTATCACGTCTTCGAGACATCTCAAAGCGCCTCACAGGGTATGCTGTAAAGTGAATTGACTGTAGATTTTGTGGGTGAAACGCGGCAGCCAATTGTGCACAGCAGCGTCCCACAAACAGTCGTGGATTGAAGTGACCAAACTATTTTTTTAATTTTTATTTCTTGAAGGAATTATTGCTTTGTCGTATACTTATCTCATTCTCTCTTGAGTTTGCAGACATAATCTGCCTCCCTGGCTCCCTCCGCTCTACATACTCCTCGCTTCACTCACTGTATAAAATCATTCAGTCTCAGCTCCCTGTTCACCCTCCCTCTCCCGAGCTCAAACCTGTGCTCCCCTTGTTGTAGAACATATGCGTATGATCAATGCATTGTGTAGGCTTTATCCTTATACAGGGTGACCAAAAATTTGTGATATCTACCCTGTTATCTGAAAAACAGCAAAAATATTATCATATCTTTAAGACTTATTAGATATTGTAATAATATCACAAGTTTTAGTTGCCCTGTCTATAGCCTTTTAGGAGTGAGAAAGAAAAAAACAGGAGCGACAGAAAGTCGTAAAGTGAAGAATAAACAATTAACTGGTATTTTTATGGCATTTATCATGTTGAACTTTCTCAAAAGGCAAAGTAATAATAATAATAATACAGTGCCTTATCACATCATCGAGACGTCTCAAAGCGTTTCACAAAATATAACATAACATGTAGGAGCAGGAGTAGGCCATTCGGCCCTTGGAGCCTGCCCCGCCATTCAATCATGGCTGATCTTCTAATCTAACTCCAGCTAATAACCTGACGCTGCCTTATCCCCATATCCCTTAATCCCTTTTGCAACAAGAAATCTATCTATCTCAGTCTTGAATATGTTCAAGGACTGAGCGTCAACAGCCCTTTGGGGTAGTGAGTTCCATACATTCCATACTGTAATGTGAATTAACTGTGTATTTTGTGGGCGAAACGCGGCAGCCAATTGCGCAAACAGTGTCCCACAAACAGTCGTGGATTGAGTAATTGTGAATAGTAATAAATAATAATCCTTGCATTTGATGTATCGCCTTATCACGTCTCAAAGTGCTTCACAGAATATATTGTAAAGTGAATTGACTGTATATTTTTGTGGGCAAAATTAATAATAATTGTTGTCAAGTACAGGGATCTCGAAAACTGAAAGACAATCAGATTCAAATATAACTTAGGCAGATACCTGGAAACGCTAGGACTTTGGAGTCAAACTGGAGAGATTTCCTTACCATGTCCCCGATAACATGGTTGTCCTGTCTCCTGGTGTGGTTGACGCCCAGGATCCCAAACACCACAAAGACCATGGCTCCCGTGTCCACCAGGGGGCGCACCGCTGGCTTCCCACAGCTGGCGTCCACGCAGGGGTTGAAGTCAAAGGTCGGAGACGAGTCCTCTTTGTGCAAGAACGAGAAAGCTAAAGAAAGGCAGGTGTTTAAATCCTCCTTAACCTCCCTGGACTACCCTTGAACCCTTGAGCAACCTAGGCATCAGGTTTGATCCCAAAATGAAGTTACAACAGCAACAACAACAAATTACATGTTTAGAGCGCCTTTCAAGTTGGGAGGACTATCCCACATCTGGTGCCTGACCAGGACCACTTTCCTCCGCATTACCTCACACCCAACGCTGCTAATTCATGCACAAAAACATCCCACAGATATCTGTGGATGATGACAGAGTCTGGTGAGGGAGAGTAACTAGACCCTCCAACAGGGCTTTGCTCAGTTACCCCCAAAGCTGAAGAGAGTGATTGTGGCCAATGCGATGGGTTGACCTACCTTTCTCGTAGGGGACATAGAACGATCCTTGATTAGGGCCATCAGGTCCAGCACTCAGAATACAGCCAGGGGGTGCCAGACACACCCGACTGTGGAATGGACTCTTCCGCATTTGGGCGAAATACAGCTTCCTGTGGGATATAAACCAGGAGATGAAACCAATTCCAATATAGACCCACGAGCGTGAATAATAATAATAAAAATAATAATCAGGCATGTTTTTTCACAGTGCCTATTAACATCGAAGCACCTCAAAGTGCTTCATGGGGAATTGCTGTCCAGTAACTGTATATTTCGAGTCAAATTCTTGCTTTCTTTACTCAGACCGGAGACTCTAGAGAGGGGATTTGGAGGGATTCTGAACAAAGGAACTCTGAAGGGGTCCCTCAGGGAGACCAGGAGCCAGGAGGAATTTTATTCCTAACCCTAACCTGGAATGGCCCCGGAATGGAGATCCCGTGAAGTTCATCAGGCAATTCTGGTGTCTTTATTGAGGAATTCTCATTAAAACGTCAAGACCTGAAATCAGGAGGCAGTTTTGTCCTCCGGGGGAATAGAATCTGTGACTATCTCCCCCAAAAGGATGAGGATGTTGGATCCATTCAAATTTTCAGGACTGAGGTGGATAGGTATTTGTTAGGTCAGGGTATTAAGGGATACAGGACACGTTGAGGTACAGATCAGCCACGGACTTATAGGATGGCAGTACACACTCAGGGAGGGGGGGGCTGAAAGGCCTCCTCCTGCTCTTATGTTCCTCTCCCCCTTCCCCCCCTACTCCCCACCCTCAAAACTGACGTGAACAGTAAGGTAGAGAGCCAGAGACGCACTGAGTGTGAAGTTGTTTTGTAGCTGCCGCGTAGAAATGGAAGTCAAATTTCCAGCCCTTCCTCCCATTGCACGTTGACGAGAGCGTGATCATCCACTTCCTGGGACAACGGTAACTGGGCAGCCCCAGCCTGGACGTACACACCGTCAGCTTCTTGGTGAAGTTACCGGATGGCGCCATGTAGACCTTGAGATAGAGAGAGAGAGAGCGAGACAAAAAGATCAGCAGAACCCCGAAATTCCAACCAGCTGCAACCTAATCCGCCAGACCCTACATTTTGTCTTAAATAATAAATAATCCTTGTGTTCGAAAATCTTTCACAGTCAGGAGGACGTCTCATCGCTCCTCACTGGAGTTGACTGTAAAGTGTAGTGACTGTGAATGTGGCAGCCAATTGGCCCACAGCAATCTCCCGTAAACAGTCGTGGATTGAGTGACCAAATTCTGGTTACTGTGGGAGTGTGAATGAGGGATTATGATTAATGGTGCAATGACAGCTCGCGATGAGGTCAATTCCTGCCAGGAGGTTGAGGCTTCCTGTCTCCACCGTTGCCCACTCACTTTGAAGGAGGGCACCTCCCCATTCCGTGTTGCCGGTGGTCGCCAGGGGTAGGGGATGGAGGCGTCGAGAGAGAACCTGTAGACAGCTGGCCGCACATCGCTGTCATACATGCTCACATAAACAGTCGTAGCACCATCTGAGAGGGAGAAACTGTGGTCAGACAGAAACCGGGCAGGAGAGACAAGCATCTCACTCCTCACCCCCACATCAATCCAACAAGATTGGGTTTATCACACATGATATTAATAATCCCAAATCTTATTTAGGATTATACAATTATAATATAATTTCGGCCACAAAATACACAGTCAATTCACTTTACAAAGTGTTCTATGAAGCGGTTAGAGACGTCCCAACCACGTGATAAGGAGCTACTGTATATCAAGGATTATCATTATTATTATTATTATTAATCCTTACCTTTGATGCGGCACCTTTCAAAGTCGGGAGGACATCTCTAAGTGCTTGACAGGATTTACTGTGTCTTTTGTAGGCAAATACGGCAGCCAATTTGTGCACAGTAATGTCCCACAGACAGCGATGATTGGGGATCAATTCTACAATTCTGTCCGTTGGACAGGACCTGGGAGAAACTCTCTTCTCTTTTCGAATAGTGTTGCAGGATTTTTAACGTCCACCTGAACAGGCACAGGCGGGGAGCTCGGTTTATCATCTGACACCTCTGAAAATGCAGCGTTCCCCACAGCACAGCAGCGGAGTGTCAGCCTGACAACATGAGTTTCACCTACCTTTTCACGACAAAGAGCTGTCAAGTGTAGTGTAAATAGATAGTCTTTTTGCACACAGCCAAGAACCACTATCAGCCATGAGGTGAGCCATGACAATCTTGAGAACAGTCTTGACAGTCAGGACATTGGAGGAAGAAACTCTTTTTGCTTTTTCAAATAGAGTTGCATGATTTTTAACGTTGAAGCATTTAATGTTGATAAGCCAAATAAAATTTGGTTTAACAAGTCCCTTGTTAAAGACATCATCCCCCAGCAGTGCAGTAATAACAATAATAATAATCCTTGCATTTGATATCGCGCCTTATCACGTTTCCAAGACGTCTCAAAGCGCTTCACAGAATACACTGTAAAGTGAATTGACTGTGTGGCCGACTGCGTATTTTGTGGGCGAAACGCGGCAGCCAATTGCACACAGCAGCGTCCCCCAAACTGGCATGGGTTGAGTGACCAAATTATTATTATCATTATTTAATCCCCCAATACTGCACGACTGGACTGCGAACTCTGGGCTTGAACCCACCATCTTCTGACCCTGAGGCGAGGGTGCTAATAAACGAGCCAGGGTGAGCACGAGGCTGCCAAAGCTGGCAAATTGGATCTCGGCATCTTTCTCTTTGAATTGCTTTTCCTCTCCTTCCCGTCTGTTCTCACAGCTTCTCACCAACATATCCTGTCTCCCGAGACAGCTGGCAATGTGTGCGAGGGCTGGTTGGGAGAGGGGGGAGCAGGGGGAGGGAAGGGTTCGCTCAGTTGGAAGAGAGAACAAAACTAGCTGAAGCCGCTATCAGCTGCCACTCCTGCTCCAAATCCTGTGACACATCAAACAGTGTTCAAGGACTGATAGTTTTTTGGGGTCAGTCGGGCGTCTGATACATGTGCAAGCCCATCACCATTCTTAAGAACATCCGAGCCTAAGGAGAGGAGGTGTTATTTGGGGATCAGTCGGGTGTCTGACACCCAAAGAAATCCTGCTTACCTCAGCCCACCTTCACATGAAGGTTAGACACCACTTGGTCATTTGACATCCGACCAGCGCAGGTTTGAGCCCCAAGGAGGGGTTTCAATCCAAACCTGTCATTAAAGACCGATTGTAAAGGTAGATTAACCGTAAATTTAGAAAAGCCCCTTAATTATCAGTGTTAATTAAAGTATTAATTCATCAATTTGACTCAGAAGTTTGCTTACAACATATAGGAACAACCACAAACTACAGACATTTTCCCCGGGGAATAGTTGAAGTCTCGGAAGGGGGTGAAGAGAGCACCAACGATTGGCAAGTAAAGGGTGTAAGAAAGACAGGGAGAGCAAATTCTGACCTGGACTCGCGGTGGGTAGGGTGGCTGCTTTCTCTCCCCAGGGCAAGTCTTTCCAGCGTTTGGTTTTGGCCGATGTTGCCCGGATGTTGTTGAGAAGAGGCTGAGGCTTCTCCTGAAACAAGCCTAATACCCAAACAGAAATGCCAGTTACAGAGCTGTGAGCACTGGCACTTCAGATGCTCCCATCAGAGAATACATAATAATAATAATAATAATAATAATCCTTGTATTTTTCTTGAGGGATTATTACCAGGTGTGTGGAGTAAGGAACCTTGCCCAAGGTTTCGCCCTGCCGGCGGGTTCAAACCCAATCTCTCACTTGTGAGGCGAGTGCTCCAACCACTGACTACAGAACACCACAATCAATGAGCTACAGGACTCCACATTATGATAAGCCTTGTACCTTGTTACACTACTGAGACGTCTCAAAGCACTTCACAGGAAATACTATAAAGTGTAGTGACTCTACTTTGTGGGCAAACACTGCAGCCAATTTTCACATAGCAATGTCCCACATATTGATTTGAAGTTTAGGATTAATTTTATTTGAGGGATTGTTGGCCAGGCCACTGGGAGAGAGAAACTCCCTTATCTTTGTGAATAGTGATGTGGGGGTCTTTAACGGCCACCTGCACAGGCAGATGAGACCTTTCTTTCAATATCTCATCCAAAGGACGGCACCTGCAAACAGTGCAGCGCTCACTCTGCACTGGAGCGTCAGCATGGAATGTGAGATCAAACACAGGGTTTGAACCCATAACCATCTGGTCTAGAGGGAAACGTGCGAGAGATGGACCCAGGCTGACAGTACCATTGTCTGAGCCAGTGCTCTGGGAGCAGCTATTGTCCATCTCCCACCTTAAGCTCCATGATTATCATCTTCAAATACGTTAAACATTGTTAAGATGTCAGCTTTAAAGCCAATACTATTTACCTTTCAACAACAAGAACAACTTGCATTTACACAAGGGTATCAGATTCCCAGGGCCATTCTACAAGGCCAAGTTTTATAGAGGCACCATTGTATGCACTGCTCTCATCTAGATCCTGTCGTAAGCTTTGTCGCCAGCGGAGGCAGCTATCAAACCCATTTCCTAATTGTTTATTGTTCAAAAGCTGCTTCACCTCAAAGGGAAAGGTGTGTAATTGGGGCAGATCCTGAGCCAAGAAGTTAAAGCTGGATAATTAACTGAGCCTTTACCAGAGGAGCCTAATGATCTAGTTTGCATATTTCTGATCATCTTTGCTTCTGAACCAAAAAACACTGATCAAAGTGTTTTGGATCATCAGTAAGCTGAAATCAAAGCTAACTCTGTCACTAAAGTCTTCTTACATCAGAGACTCACTGGTGTAATTTACTTCGTAGTGTGCTTTATGTATCAAAATAGGAATAGGTTTAACAGATGGGTATCAGAAGCAAGAAACACAAGGTTATGAAATCACAAGAGAAATGTAGGAGAAGATGTGCCTTCGGTCCATTTAATCTATGTGGAGTCCTGTAGTTTAGTTTAGTGGTTAAGCTACAGGACTCCAGATCGACTAATCGACTAACAACCAGGTTCCTACTTAATGCTCGGTAAACAGAGGTTTGAGAAGTAAGGAAACTTGCCAACGTTTCGCACTGCCGGGAATCAAACCCAGATCCTTTCGCTTGCGAGGCGAGTGCTCTAACTGCAGGACTCCTAAAAGTCTTTAAACTGTAGCTTACAGAGGAACTGGCTTCCTCCCTCCCTTCACTCATTCCAAGATTTCAAAACATCCTTCTGACTGCGCTTTTGGTCATCTTTCCCCCTCCTCAGCCTCTTCAGCTCCCATCCCCAGCTCTTGTGTCCAGCCAGCAGTGTCAAGCGCTTTGCGGGATCCTGCCAACATGAAAGGAAGCTGTGTGAATGTAAATTGTATTGTGTAGGATGTGCTGCGCTGTGGAAACCNTTTTTTATCAAGGCCAGGGGAAGAAGCTGAGATGACAGATTAAAATGTGCTCTTTAAAGCTCACTCCAGCGTTTGGTGTTTTTGAAACTTTATTATATTTCGGTTCTGGGTTGCAATGGGTCAGAGAAGCAGAATCCCTTTTGTTCCATTTTATAAACTAAATTGAATCAAAGTACCGAAGGTGTCAAAGCTGATAGCTGAGTTGGGATTTGAATGCAGCCATCTGCAAAAAAAATCCTTTGTGTAGAATACAAATGTAAGTGAGATAGTGACATTGGAGCGAAATTTGACCCAGTGGATTGCCTGTGAGGCCCGCCTGATGGAATTCGACCTGTGCTCAGTATAGGAAAGGTAGCGTGGATGGAATCAAAATCTAATCATCATAATAATAATCAGAACATTTGACACGGACTCTTGTTCACAAATCAAACAGGCTCAAAGCGCTTAACGGATTTTTTCTGTGAATATTAATAATAATAATCTTTGCATTTGATATAGCGCTTTTCATGTCTTCTAGACGTCTCAACAGAATACAACAACAACAACAAAATTACATTCGTATAGCGTCTTTCACGTCGGGAGGACGTCCCAAGGCGCTGGACTATACTGTAAAATAAATTCACTATATATTTGTGGATAAAATGCGGCAGCCAATTTCACACAGCAGTGTGCCACAAACAGTCGTGACCAAATTGAGTGACCAAATCATTATTTTTTCTGAGGGATTATTATCCCTCAAAAAGGTATAGTCTGTATTTTGTAGGTGAACACAGCAGCCAATTTTTTTTTGGTCAGCCAGGTGTGGGAACCCATCACGTTGCTTAAGAGTACCCAAACCAAGCTGAGAATTTCATGCATCCCACCTACACATCTCTATCCCAGAGATAAGATAGTTGGAATGGAATGCGCTCTCTCTCTCTCTCTCTCTCTGTCCCCCCCTGGAGGGACACATCCTGCTTACCTAATTCCGGAGAGTATTAGGCGCAGGTTGGCAAGCAGACAATTTGTAAACTTCAATGTCTCAGAAACAACCATGAAGCCAAAGGCTAATTTTTTTCTGGGGGATTGTCAGCCAGGATCCCGGGAGGGATTCCCTTCTTCTTGATAATGTCATTTTTTTGCATTGAAATCCCTCTCCAGATTATCAGCTTTGCCATCCACCTGAACAGGCGGAGACAGAACCAGATTTAATGTCTCATCTGAAGGACAGCACCTCTGACAATGTAGTGCTCCCCCCTACATTGTAAGGTAATGTCCAGCCTGGTCTGTGAACTCACAGTATGCTTAGAAAGTTTGTGTTTGATGGGGTGTCACAGTCAAACAGGAAGATCTTGAGATGGACCTTGAAGGAGCAGAGGGAAAGGGTGAAGAGAAGCGATTCCGAGATGGAGTTCCAGAGGAGGACCAGGCAGGGTGGGGGACATAGAGCAGGCAAGTACCCACCTAGCAGTTGGAGAGGGTTGCAGGGTTTTATAAGGTCTCGGGAGAAGCAAAACCATGGAGCCCTTTAAAGGTGCGGACGAGCATCATGAACTTGATCCTCTGGGGGATAGGGAGCCAGTGGAGCCGGGCGAGGATTGATGTGATAGGCTCACAGAGCCTGGTACGGGAGACGTCACGAGCTGCAGGGTTCTGGATGATTTATAGCTTGTGGAGGGAAGAGTTGGGAAGGCCGGTGAGCAGGGAGTTGGGATGGTGATGAATAGTGTAGACTCTCACTATTTAGTCAGAATTTATAACAGATTCCAAGAGGCCGGGACCTGGCCATGATGGCAGAAAGGGTTTAGCTCTCACGCGTATTTCTGAATCAGACAGCTTGCATGTTAACAATAATGCATGAGGTTTCACCGGGGATCATACATGGTGTTGAACCCAAATGACTTTCTCGTGTACAGAAATAAATAAGTTCCTGGGGGCAGAGTTTTTCATTATGGAAGCGACTGCTGGCCTCCACAATTTATCACAGGCACTGCAGGCAGGACCGAGACATCAGACAGAGCTGGTAAATGGGAGGCGAGACAGGGTAATCATGTTGGTGGCCGTTTCCTGCGACCTTTAACAACTGAACGTAGGAAACCAGAGAGGAACATTCTACCAGAAAAGGAGCAATAGGGTGGAGTTTCACGAGTGTTTCAGGCCATGTTGTGAACCTTTTATTGATGGGGGAGCTGGGAGAGGGGCTCAGCATGGTGTGTGGCTCAGCAAGCAAGCTCATTGAGTCTTGGCCTGAAACACGTCACTTGCCTTTGTTGACCTGGACACTAGGAGAAACAGAGAGAGAGAAAGAGAGAGGGAGAGAAATGGCAAGAGAGAGCAAGAGAGTGATGGGGAGAGAAATAAAGAGAGAGAAAAGAGAGATTGTGAGAGAAATGGAGAGAGATACACAGAGAGAGAGAAATGAGGAGAGAAAGGATGATAAATAAATGAGAAGGGGGGAAAGAGAGAGAGAGGGAGAGAGAGAGAGAGAAAGAGGGAGAGAGAGTCCAGGAACACACTTGATCAGCTCTAACAAACTCAAGACAAATGACATTTCCTCTGCCTACCGATAAGGAAATGCTCTAAATGTTATTCAGAAATACCTTAACAGTCATACACAGGACCGATTGGTAATGTGGTGTCGTGTATCATCTTGCCAGGACAAGTTCGGGAGCAATAGCTTTGAATTTGAAGTTTAGAAGCAATTTCATGGCTGGTTAGGTCTGACTTGTGCTACTTTGGTACATTGACTACAATTGTGTTTTGAGATTAAACGCTCCAGCTGGGGTTAATGGTAAAGGCTGCGAGAGACTGGAAACGGCAGCTTGTTCACATAAAAACAATCAGCGATTGACCAAGGTGGACTGAAATAATTTGATTTTTCCCTTGTTTTGTTTTGTCTTTGCTTCCTGTTAATAGCGATTACTGGAGCGTAGTCTGCCAGATGAAGTCCGCTGCACGCTGCCGCTTGCAACCCCTTTCCTCAACACTTCAGATAACTCAGTAACAGCCTCCCTTGGTTCTGTACTGGAATAGCTTGTGTTTTTTTTGCAGTTTGCTGTGTGAGCCACAGGACTTATCCCCAGTGTTAGAGGGATGAGCTGCGAGGAACAACTACATAAGCTAGATAAACCAGGCTTGAAGAGAGATGTCTCAGAGGTGAATGCAATGCTAAACATGATTGAGAAAGTAAACCCAGGAATTCTTGCAGTTGTGCCAAAGCAGCGGGACAGGAGGTCAGAGGTGTGAAGGGCAATATCGGGGCAGACATCACCAAGTGCAGACACCAGCAGTGCATTCCAGATCACTCTTACCATCTGGAATGCACTGCCTGAAAGAGTGGTGGAACCAGATTGAACAATAGGGAATTAGATAGGTACTTGAAAAGAAAAATGTTGCAAGGATATGATAAGAGCAAGGGAGTGAGACTAGTTGGTGGCTCTTTCAAAGAGTCAGCCAAATGGCCTCCTTCTGTGCTGTAAGATTGTATGATTCTATTTCTTCAAAAGCGAAAAACAACTGGATCAGGGATAAAGGAAGAAATACTTTGGGGCTCAGAATTCCTCATGTTCTGTTGTAAAGAAATATTTTTTGATCTAATGTCCTTGCTTTAATTTTTCTTGTCTGTCACATCATTGTGCTTAAGGGTTTCCGAACCATACTGAGAGTTCCTCATACGCCATCTCCACACTGGAATTTCCCTGTGTCTGAAATTGAATGCACTGTGTATCAGGCACAGGTTGGCAGGAGCCAAGGCTTGGGAACTCCAGAGTGTGTGTTGGGGGTGACTGCTGGAGTCTAACCAGCTAAAACCGCATAACTTGCCATTGTTATTAACGGATGGCAAGCTTCCCGCTGCTTGTCCAGCTAGGCCCATCTTATATATTAGGGCTTTGGATTGCAGTATTGACAGGAGCTGAGTGGTAAGACTCCCCATCCTCAGTAGCTGGTCTGTCTCTCCAAGTCCTGGCGACAAGCCAGATTGGCTGTACTGTCACCAGCCATTTGTTAAGAACCTTATGGACCCTGCTGCTGCAGGAACCAGACCCATTACTGCAACAATTAAAAATAAAATTAAGCACTCATTCAAAGATGATATCCCTTGTTATAGATCTCTTACCAGAGTCTCTTACTTGTCAATTACCCTCATTAAATGAATCAGATCACGTTTAATCTCCTCATCTGGGGGCTCAGACAAGGTAGAATTTGGGGCCTGGTGCTAGCTGACTTTCGCAACCTCACCTGAGCAGGTGACGCAGGAGATGCCCTCGGCGCTGAGGTTATACTTCAGATCCAGAAGTACCTGGATGTTGGTGTCAGGGCTGAAGAGCAGAGGTGCCCGGCTAGCTGGACACAGCTGGATGGCAAATACAATGGACAGGACCAGGACCACGATATAAACACCTAGGAGATGAGAAAAATATCTCACTAAATGTCATTGTTTCCTGGTCAAACAATAAGGATGTAAGAACATAAAGAGTTTACTGGCGAAAGAAGACCAAGGTGCATGTAGTTCGCCTTCCACCATTTTGCCAGTCGCTTGACATGTCAGGTTCCAAACTATACACTGTATCCCAAGGTATTATTTTCCAGCAGAAATCTATCTAATTTGTTCTTGAAACAAATGACATTTTCTACTTCCACCGTCTCCCTGGGAGCCTGTTCCATAAGTTTACTGCTTGTTTACGACAATAATTAGATGTAATAACCTTTCCGCTTTACTGATAACTGGATCACATCAGGCCAGTGGCTTTAGCACCTTGGATCAGAAGGCTCTGGGTTCTATCTCCACGTCAACAACAACTTTCATTTACACAGTGTGCTTCACATAGAATAATGACTGAGCGCTTTACAGTGATGGAGTAAGAACCAAGAAGGGGAGAGGTATTCAGGTGGACACGAAAGATCTCATGTCCTGTCCCAAACTATAGACTGTATCCCAAGATATTATTTTGTAGTGAAATATATACTCTAGATATACTCTAAGGATACAGTATATAGTTTGGGGCTTAACATGTGCAAGTGACTGCCAGGATGTTGGAAGGTGAACTGGATGGACCTTGGTCTTCTTTCGTCTAACAAACTCTTATATTCTTATAGAGATGGTGCCTCACCATTGAGCCATCCAGTGGCTCCTTTGAACCTGTTGCAGTTAAACTGATATTCCTGAGATTAGCAATATAACCGGGATATAACCATGTGCTGCAGGCTTCAGAGGTCACCCAAGGCCGGGCAATTTGTCAACAACAACAGCAGCAAATTAAATTTGCATAACGCCTTTCACGTCACAAGGACGTTCCAAAGCATTGATATCAGACTATGTAGAGGTGCTCACTGTTAATATCAGACTATATAGAGGTGTCACTGTTAATATCAGACTGTATAGAGGTGTCACTGTTAATATCAGACTGTATAGAGGTTCTCACTGTTAATATCAAACTATATAGAGGTGTCACTGTTAATATCAGACTGTATAGAGGTGTCACTGTTAATATCAGACTGTATAGAGGTTCTCACTGTTAATATCAAACTATATAGAGGTGTCACTGTTAATACCAGACTGTATAGAGGTTCTCACAGTTAACATCAGACTATATAGAGGTGTCACTGTTAATATCAGACTATTTAGAGGTGCTCACTGTTAATATCAGACTATATAGAGGTTCACACTGTTAATATCAGACTATATAGAGGTTCTCACTGTTAATGTCAAACTATATGGAGGTGTCACTGTTAATACCAGACTGTATAGAGGTTCTCACAGTTAACATCAGACTATATAGAGGTGTCACTGTTAATATCAGACTATTTAGAGGTGCTCACTGTTAATATCAGACTATATAGAGGTTCACACTGTTAATATCAGACTATATAGAGGTTCTCACTGTTAATATCAGACTATATAGAGGTGTCACTGTTAATATCAGACGATATATAGGTGTCAGTGTTAATATCAACGATATAGAGGTGCTCACTGTTAATATCAGACTATATAGAGGTGTCACTGTTAATATCAGACTATATAGAGGTTCTCACTGTTAATGTCAAACTATATAGAGGTCTCACTGTTAATATCAGACTATTTAGAGGTTCTCACAGTTAACATCAGACTATATAGAGGTGCTCACTGTTAATATCAGACTATTTAGAGGTGCTCACTGTTAATATCAGACTATTTAGAGGTGCTCACTATTAATATCAGACTGTATAGAGGTGCTCACTGTTAATGTCAGACTATTTAGAGGTGCTCACTATTAATATCAGACTGTACAGAGGTGATCACTGTTAATGATATTACAGGAACGAGTTGTCCAACTATAAAGCATCATACTGAATTTAGCATTTCATACACCAACAGATTCTGTATTGAGTGCTCTCACAACGAGCCTCAGTTGTTAGAAATTAGAAACCACCTGGGGCTACAATGACATTGAGTTTCAGGGCATTCTTGAACGCAGTCTTAATTCCAGCTGTATAAAACTGCCACGTTCTGTGCTGAAATAGTAGGAAAATAGATTACATATGGTCCTGGGTGGAATTTTTCGCCATGAACCAAATTATTTTCATCCTAAAAGACTTGACATGTTGGGGTAAACATGTCAAGTCTTGTTAGGCAATGCCTGTAGCAACGTTGGCATATATTGGAGTTTCCTGATAGAATCACTCAGAGTCAACAATGATCAATCCTTGGTTTTGATAGAGCACCTTATCACATCATTAGACACTTAATATTTACCGAGAAGTATTTGTAGGTGAATGCGGCAGATAATTCATAATACATAATAATAATCCTTGCATTTGATATATCGTGGATTGACTGGGTATTGACTGCAAAACGTGGCAGCCAACAGTCAAGGTTTGAGCGACCACATTTTTTTTAAGGGATTATTACTCCCAGAAAACGATCTTCCAATCAACTAACAACGGTTCTACTTACTGCTAGGTAAACAGAGGTGTGTGGAGTAAGGAAGTTTGCTTAATATTTCACCCTGCCTGGAAATGAGATTTAATGTAGAGAAATGCGAGGGGTTGCATTTTGGTAGGAAGAATGAGGAGAGGCAATATAAGCTGATGGTACAATCTTAAAGGGGGTGAAGGAACAGAGATCTGGGGGTTCATATAAGCAATTTCTGAATGTGTCAGGACAGGTAAATAAAGCTGTTAAAAAAGCATATGGGATACTAGGATTTATACGGCTGTGGCTGCTGTGGATCCATTCACATTTTCAAGATTGGGGTGGATAGATATTTGTCAGGGTATCAAGGGATACGGGGCAAGGGAGGGCTGTTGGAGTTGAGGTACAGATCATCCATGATCTTATAGAATGGCAGAACAGTCTCAAGGTGCTGAATGGCCTCCATCTGTTCCTATGTTTCTGATGTAGCGCAACCCCCAGTACTGCACGGCCTTGACTATTAACTCAAAGTTCCAACTTGTGGCTTGAACCCACAATCTTCTGACTTTGAGGTGAGAGTGCTACAAACTAGGCCAGGCTGGTGTGCAAAATGCTCCGTGGAATTTCAATCCATAGGTCTAACCTGGTAACCTTACCTGAAATGATCCACCTGCCTTTCACTGCGGGGAGTGCGATGTAGTGATGCAGAAATCCCTGAAATCTTGTGATCAGCAGCCCAGGATACTGACTCCCATCTCCAGCTACCGTTCCCTCCGGCAACATTGAGATCAAAGGCACATCCCCGGCATTCAGAGAGGCTTTTTTTGGGGTGACAGAAAATGAAGATAGAAAAAAAAACGTTGGGCAAAAACTCAGTTGTATGTTTTGCAAACAGATAACTTCACAGTGTGAGCTTGGCTCAGTCGGCAGAATGATCCCGGGAGCTTTATCGTTCTGCACAGAGAACAGCTGTTCCAACAATCTACTTCTGGAATTTCCGTGTGTAGGTGGGATGTATGGAATTCTCAGTTTAGTATGGAGACTCTTGGACATTAGTTTCCGCATATAATAGGCTGACAGGACCTCGGATTAACATTTCATCTAAAGAATGGCACCTCCAATAATACAGTGCTCCCCCAGCACTACTCTGGAGAGTCAATCTAGATTGTGAGCTCAAAGTCCCAATGTGGGGGCTTGAACCCACAAGCTTCAGGCTCAGAGGCCACAGAGGGGGAGCCAGCACCATCAACGGTGAAGTTGCCAATGCTGCCAAACCTTAAAAGAAAAGTGACTCTGACAAGGCTGGCGAGAACGACAGCGCTGGTCAGATACTTGATGCTTTTAAGAAGTCGCCATTGAAGTTCTGGATCTGACAGGGACTGACTGATTAAACTGAGGGATTGTTGGTCAGGACAAAGGGAGAAACATTCTTCACTTTTTCGATAGCACTGCAAGATCTTAAACATCCCTCTGTATGGATAAATGGAACATCTCATCTGATGGATGGTTCCTCTGATACTCTCAGGATTGTAGTGGAGCATCTACCTAAACTATGAGCTCAAGTAATAAAGATAATAATAATCCTGGCATTTGAGACGTCTCAAAGCGCTTCACAGGATATACTATAAAGTGGGCAAAACACGGCAGCCAATTGCACACAATGAAGGCATTACGTTGGGCCTAGTATATCTGAGCCCTTGTGAGGAGGTAGCTGTTTGTCCGCTCGGATTTTCCTGTGGTTTATTTTACCCGTTTCTTCTTCAACGGAGAGAAGAGGAATATCGTCATCCAGGTACTGCAGCGAGTCCTGGTCTGTGATGAGGAGTGAGGAGTCACACTCTTCGGAAGACACCGTGCCTTTCCTCCGGCACTTTTGCTGGCAGCTAGAGCAAAAGATTATAAAAAAGATTTTTATAACATGGACAAAAACAAGGTGCACTGTGACCATTTAAATACAACAACAACAAATTACATGTCTATCACGTTGGGAGGAAGTCCCAAGGCGCTAGACAGTCAGGGATATGGCCCGAGCTTGGAGTTGGGATCAGGAAGGGTGGAGGGCAGGAAATACTATTGTTTTTGAGTCAGAAGCTTGGATGCGACACTCCAGTGCAGTGCTGGGGTTGCACGACATTGTCAGAGTTGCCGTCCTTCAGAAGAGATGGTAAACCCAAGGTCCTCTCTGTCTATTCAGGTGGATGTTAAAGATCCCGTAGCGTTATTCAAAAAGAGAAGGGAGTTTCTCTACATGCTCTGCCCATTAAATCTCCCACACAAAGATCATGAACAGAAATTGATCAGGTAAGCAAAATGAGAAACTTGCCAGAGTGTCTCAATAGTAAACCACAAACAGTGGTGAATTGAATGACCAAATCATCTTTTTTGAAAGGATTATTCCCCCCGGAAAAGTGATCTGTTAATCAACTAACAACCAGGTTCCTACTTCCTGCTCGGTAAACAGAGGGGATAAACAAGAGATATCGCCTCCGTGAGGCGGGTGAGTGTGAATGTGGGAACGATACTGAATATTCTTTATGTTCCAGGTCTTGTCTTGAGAATGGATGTGATCTCGGTGTTGGTACACAGGAAGATAACTTTGGCTGCCACAGCATAAGTGCCAGTAACATCAACATCAGGGCTGAGGATGCAATCAATGAGCTGCCACTGATTCAATGAGATCTCTGCAGATACAGGCCAGGCTTCCTTCCTTATCACTGCTACTCCCGATAACAGTGAAGCGAGCAAGCAAGCGCACACTGTCTAGATTCCATTAGCAACCTTCTAATTAAACCCAGTGATCTGATAACTGAGCGATGCAGTCAATGCTCGCGGCTCAGTCACTTCAGCAACTGTGTCTCAGAGACTGGGGCTCAAACCCTGTCCTGTTTGTTGTCAGTCATTGAGAAAGTAAATGCTTTTTAGATGTACCGAGATACCAGGACAACAGCTTTGGGTTTGCAAAGGGCAATTTCACAATCACAAGATTGATTCGGATGAAGAACGCCCTTCGACCCATTTGATCTCATCGTTCCAGAATACACAGTTCACTTTCTTTCCATCACAGCATCAAGCTGTGTATTACAGAGTCCCAGTGTCCTGCCCTCAAACAGCCTTCCTTGGCAATATGTTTCAGTCGTTAATTACTCTCTGGATAAGGACACACTTCCTAGGGTCTGTTCTGAAAATGCCCCTTTACAACTCTAAACCTATGGCTTCTTATTCTACTTGTCTTGGTGGATCCTAAAGAATTGTTCTGAGTTAACATTTTCAATCTCATACAAAATTCTGTACACCTCTATGAGGTCTCCCATGAGACGTCTTCTCTTAAGACTGAAGAGTACCAGTTTATTTAATCATTGTTCATAGCTCATTCCTCTGGGGATATTCCTATTTGCTCTCGTCTCATTGCCTCGAGGAGCTCGGCAGCCTCATTATGTCATAATGATCATTTAAAAAAAAAGCTTGATTCTGCGATGGGAAGACAGTCGGGTGAATATTCTGGAAGGATGAAATGAATGACCGAAAGAACCCCACATATCTATCAGTTAGTAGAAATCCCGTTGTTAGTCGATTGGCGGATCGCTTTCCAACGATAATAATCTCTTTNAAAAAATCAGTCACTCAATCCACAACTGTTTGTTGGACACTGCTGCTCACGATTGGCTGTCGCATTTTGCCTACAAAAATACACAGTCAATCCAATCTTCAATGTATTCTGTGAAGCTCTTTGAGACGTCTCAACGATGTGATAAGGTGCTATATCAAATGCAAGATTATTATTATTATAATTATTAATTTCCTCCACTGCTCCAGTCTGAAGGACAACCTAAACGGAAGACGCCATCTTGTGGGAAGCGCAGCAAAGATTTTCAATCTGCAAACCTCTTCTTCCCGCAATGTGAGCGAGCAGCTACTTGCTCAGCCTTGGTCCCTGGGGAGTATTGAATGGCTCTGTTCGTGACTGTTTCGCTCAGAATCAAAAACTCATTCTACATTCTATAACATTGTTTCCACTTACACAAGTCCCTGAAATATTGATTTGTACTCTTTCGGTTCGAGTCTTCAAAAGTACTCTCCACTTTGACGGCGGCTGAGCATTTTGCCCTGTTGTATGATTATTTTTGGGAGGGTCAGCCGGGTGTCTGACACGTGCGCAAACCCATCACAGTATCCAAACCCAACTGAGAATTCCATGCATCCAACTTACACATGAAAATCCCACAGCTAGATTGGAATGCTCTCTCTCTCTCTCTCTCGCTCTCTCCCTGGAGGGGCGCACCCTGCTTACCTAATTCTGGAAAGTGTTAGGCGCAGGTTGGCAAGAGCCAAGGTTGAGGATCCCAGAATGTGGGAACTCGGGAGTTTAACCAGCTAGAACTGCATAGCTTTATATGAAATGGGCGAGTTAGATCTCTATTTTATACCAATCTCTTGTTCCAGAGCCATCTTTCCAAATCACCACAATACTTGATTGATACCAGAACTACTCTACTACTAACACTCCTTGCATTTGATATAGTGCCTTGTCGAAAACTTGTCAAAACATCTCTCAGCATTGATTTGATGTGAAAGTTGCACAGAAACGCTACTTAACAATACAGTAGATGGTAAGAAAGAACTTCCGTTTCTACAGCATCATATCACATAAAACCACCTAAAGGCTTTTCAGTTTATTGTCAAGTGTAGTGACTGTGCTTTTCTATCGGTGAACATGGCAGCATTGTCCCACGCACAATTAGGAAGTTATTTGGAGGATTGTGGGCAGGGATTCCAGGAGAAACTCCCTTCCCTTTTCAAAAAAAATAAAAATAATAATGATAATAAAATAATAATGATAATAAAGAAAAGATAATGATAATAATAATGATAAAACCCACAACTGTTTGAGGATCACTCACTGCTGCATGCAATTGCCTGCCACGTTTCGCCCAGAAAATATCCAGTCAATTCACCATACAGTATATCCTGTGAAGCGCTTTGAGACGTCTTGAAGATGTGAATAAAGCGCTATATCAAATACAAGGATTATTATTTTTTCATAAAGCATCAAGGGATTCATAACATCCAGCTGAACAGGCACAGATGGGACCTCGGTTTAACGTTTCACCTTGAAGGACAGCGCCTCTCGCAATCCACTTCTCTGATATGTTAAGACACTGACATTGTGAAAATGATTTCTTCAACGAGTTGACATAGAGAGCTGGTTCAAGCCATGCTTTTTGCATCAATTGGCACAAAGCACTCTACTCCATCATAACGCATTCAGGACCCTACATTACCATTAGTGAGGAACTGTCGTACAAGGAACACAGATTAATACTTCCCTTCTGAGTCAATCAGATCGCTCATTCACTTTAATTTATATGACAAGGATTGTAGTATCGCTTGAGTGAATCCCACATTACTTTCACCGAACAGAATCTGCTAACATCACTGAGCAGTAAAATTATTAGTACTTACCATAGAGTAACTAACAGATTAATCAGGGATGCCTGGCAGTAACGTAAAGTTATGACATGTGAGGAACAAAGTTATACCGCATGAGGAACACAATTATGATACACGAGGAACAAAAGTATAACATGTGAGGTGAATATGAGTTGCAGAGGTATCAAACTTCCTCAGTGTAAACTGCTGTTTTTTGTCTCCAACAATTTGTATTTTCATATTCGGCCAAAGGAAGCTCAGGAGGAGATTCGTCACATCGTGTCTGTGCTGGGGCTCACTCCCCCACTGGAGCTCTCTACTCTAACCCCATTTCCTGCTCTCTCTCTCCCTATGGTGTCTGTCCTGGGGCTCGCTCCCCCACTGGAGCTCTGTATTCTAATTCGCATTCCTCTGCTCTTTCCAAATTGTGCCTCATTTTGAATAACACTATGAAATCTTTGATATCCATCTGAACAGGTAGACAGGACCTTGGTTTAACATCTCACCCAAAGGAATGCACCTCCAACAAAGCTGAAGTGCCAGCCTACACTTATATGAGTTCAAAATCCCGATGTGGGGGCTTGAACCCACAACCCTCTGACTCAGAGACGAGTGTGCTATCGACTAATCCAGGCTAACACCCAGGGAATATTCTTGGCAACTGGAAATGACAAATTGGTTACTGACGGATTACAAGAGCGGAGACCAGCTACATAAATAATCTCACTGCAAACTCTGCAGACACCTGATTGCTTTCTTATCTGTTACAGGGACAGCCATTCTCATCGCTGCCTACTTACATACTCCATCAGAAAGTGTCTGCCTTGAAAAAGAATACGCTGTTGGAGCTAAGAAAAGAAGTGGATTTTTCTGCTGGGATTTGCACCGTGACTGAAGCATGAATGCGAGTGTTACCTAATTAATGGAATTTTGTATGGTCCCGGCCTTGTTCCCCCCAACTTACAAACCACCATATCAACCTGTCTGCTCCCTTCACTCAGTGGGCACTGTCCTGCTTCATGTCCCCTCCCGCCCTGCCTGCCCCATCATTATCAGTTGGGCCTTCAGTTTTTCTGCCCTCGCCCTCTGGAACTCCATCCCAAAATCCCTTTGCCTTGCCCCCTCCCTTGCCCCCTTTAAGGCCTGTCTCAAGACTTTCCCCTTGCTCGTGCTTTCTGCCACCCTCCCACTCCCCGTCCCCCTCCCTGCCCTGATTGTGATGTTAGACACATTGGATTAGTTTGTTCAAGAGCTCCCACAAATCCTGCCTTGACTGTATTACCAGAACACGCCTTGCATTTTTATAGTATCAACATGTCTCGAGGAGCTTCACAAGGAATTCACAAGTGTTGTGGCTGTTTTATCTATCAAACGTGGAACAGCAATGTCCGACAAACAGTCATGAAGTTAATGACCAATTTTTTTAAAAAATAGGGTGTATCATCAACCAGGAAGCAATAAACTATAGAGGTCTGGGTTAGGGCCGGTAAATGGGACTGAATGGATTTCTCTTTAAAAGAGCCAGGACAGACATGATGGACCAAATAGCTTTTTTTCTATGCTATAAATCTCTATGATTCTATTGTTCTACAGGGGAGGAACTCCCCTCTCTTTTTGAAAATTAAAATAGGATATTTAATGTAAAGATGCTGTAAATACAATTATTACATTTGAGAGAGCAATTACCTGTGACCGCTTTGCGATGTGCTAAAGGTGCCATAAAGAAAAAAAATTCTCTCTCGTTTTATAGAAATATATTTCCCCCCCAAAAAAATCTGCAACTGCTCAGGTGTTAAAAGGAGCATTAGCTGTTGTGTTAGTAATTTGTTGGGAACATCTCTGGGGCTCTTCTCTATTAATTAACTAAGCATTGATGCAGGGATTTGATGTGTATTAACACGCTGGCCAGAACTGGCCAACTGGTGTGAAATTGATTGAACTTCAAGTAGTATTTGGTTTCAAACCGAGCTGATTATCTGCTTGAGAAAGAGATATGGAAGTACAGGCTTTTGTGTTTGAGTGCAATGAACTCACACCATCTTGGTTGATGCTTCAGTGCAGTGGGACAGTCTTCCCTCATTCCAAATTCCTTCACCTTGTGCATCCTCTCCCTACTTGAGGGCTCCAAGTCGCTACCCCATGTCAATGGCGATGTAAATGCAAGTTGTTGTTTTCTTAAAAACCCTTCTCTCTGACCGTGCATTTGGTCAACTCACTCAAACTCCCCCTGCGTCCCTTCCCACTCAATGATTGCCGTGCTCAATTGTCAGGTGGTTTGAGACAGATGTCCATCTATCCTTTGGATGAGACATTAAACCAAAGTCTCATCTATCTGTTCAAGTAAATGATAAAGGTCCCATGGCGCTATCCGAAAAGAGAAGGGAGCTTCTCCCAGCCATTGATATTGTTGTCCAGCAAGCTTTCCCGCTACCTGTCCAGCTAGGACCATCCTACATCTCATGCAAAGAATAATGCATGATTTGGTGTCTGAGCCTAGACAATGAGCGTAAGTTCCTGACGTGGGGGGCTTGAACCCATGATCTTGTGACCCAGAAGCCAGAGAGCATCTGACCTAGCCTGGCTGACACCTGACGTTGGCTCTGCTTTCCCTGCTGACCTGTTTGTTCCCTCAATTATTCCTTGACCTTGCTTATTCATGACAGGTGGAGACGCTCTGTGTGGGCGCTGTGGTGTGGCAGCTCAGCGGACTTTCTATACTATCAAGAAAGTAATTTCTCTGGGAAAAGCATAACCTGGTTTGTCGTCAGCATGATTGAGAAGGAAAGACTTGTGAAGTTTTTGTCAGTACAGATCTCCAGGCACCACATCACTTTCCCTTGCAGGCCGACATGCTCATTACAGCTTCCTTTCAGCTTACACTGGCTTTAATAGGTTTTCAGAGTAAGCGAGCCACAAGGTAGAGTTAGGAAGATATAACCCAGGGATAATATCCAGATTACTCCCAAAATTTCATCCTTCTTTGAATTCAGATGTTTTTAGATCCAGCAATATCTTTATGTCCATAGAATCAAAGGAGCAGAGCAGGGAACTTCATCCCAAAGCCACTCTTCTTCGCCGCCTCCCTTGCCTCCTCCAAGGCCCGACTCATTACCTTCCTCTTTGACTTTGTCAAAGTGCCTTCAGCCTCACCCACCTTGAGATCTTTAACTCGCACCTGAACAAGAACACAGGACCTCCATTTAATGTTGTTTTAAGCCAAAGGACAGCACCTCTGACAATGCAGTGCTCCGCCAGTACTACGCTGAGTGTCAAACCAGACATGGAGGGAGAAGGGAGAAGTTTTCGCAGTGTGTGCAGTGTCCTGGCACAATAATGCTCCAGATTAATTTGTCATTCACCTCCTGGCTGTCATGTTCACCAACAAAGAAAATTAATGATAATAGTAATCCTTGCATTTGATACAGCGCCTTATCACGTCTTCAACACATCTCAAAGCGCTTCACAGAATATATTGTAAACTGAATTGACTGTATATTTTGTACATTCTATGATGTGGTTTGAGGTGTCTCAAAGATGTGATAGGGTGCTATATCAATAGCAAGGATTATTATTATAATTTGCAATATCAAATGCACGGAATAGTATAAAATCGGTATCAAATAAATCAAAAGCTTTATTTTCACTTCTTTCTGTCTCCTCTGCCTGATCCTCTCTCGTGCAGCTGAAGTGCATCTTTAATCATTATTGTTAGTCCATTCATTCACCGCAAGGAAAAATTCAACTTGAAATTCTGTGCAGGTGTAATTTAAATACATTACAATCTCATTAGCGAGAAAGTCTTTAAACATTGACATCTTTAATTCTGCCGAGTTACGCTCATTCTCCCCTTGGAATATCATTTCAGCTTCTGTAAAAAAAATAACTTTTTTGTCTTCCAATTTTCACTCTGACGCTGTTGCCAAACTCCCCTTCTCCTCACGATGAGTACCATGGGACCTTTATCATTTACCTGAACAGGCAGATGAGACCTCGGTTTAATGTCTCATCCAAGGATAGATGAACATCTGTCTCAAACCACCTGACAATTGACCATTGCTGAGAGCATTGCCACCATCTTTCCATCCACATCTCAAACACACATCCTTAAGCATTGAGAGATGGTCTCACCAGTTAGAGGTGCAGAGCTTGTGCATCAGTTGTTTATCTCTGCATAGCACTGGAGGAGGAGAGGAGTGCTGGATACAGGAATGTGTGTTCATAAACCTGGATCCCAGGTAATGCCGCAGGTAATTCTGCAGGTAATGTCCCAGATAATGTCCCAATCCAATGAGTTACCTCAACAATTCAACAGACATCTGCTTTCCAAGTGTTTAAACATGCCACGGTACTATTGGAAAGGGCAAAAGGAGTTTCTCCGAGTGTCCTGCCAATATTCCTTTAGATAACTTGGTCATTCGTGGAGTCCTGTAGCTCAGTGGTTAGAGCACTCGCTTTGCAAGTGAGAGACCTGAGTTCAATTCCAGGCAGAGGGCGAAACCTTGGGCAAGTTTCCTTACTCCACACAGAGCCTAATAATAATCCTCCAAAACCAAAAACAATAATAAATTGGTGATTTTCAATCTACGACTGTTTGTGGGACATTGCTGTGCGCAATTGGCTGCCGCGTTCGCCCACAAATATACAGTCAATTCACTTTACAGTGTGTTCTGTGAAGCGCTTTGGGACGTCCTCCCGACGTGAAAAGCGCTATATAAAATGCAATTATTATTATTATTATTATTATTATTCACTTCATAGCTGTTCTTCAAACGCTGCAACGTGCCACATTCGCCTACAAAAATAGTCACTCCACTTGACAGCAATGTGCAGCGGCTTTGAGGCGTTGTGAAGTTACAGCCGTACTGTCAAATGCGAGAGTTATTATTTATAATAATTATATTTCACTGACCATCTCTTGAAGGATAAAAGGAAAAAGTACTGCAGATGCTGAAAATCTGAAGTAAAAACAGAAGTCGCTGGGAACACGCAGCAGGTCAGGCAGCATCTATGGAGAGAGGAAAATGAGTTAATGTTTCAGGTCATCGATCACCTGAAACGTTAACCACTTTCCTCTCTCCATAGATGCTGCCTGACCTGCTTCGTGTTCCCAGCGACTTCAGCTTTTACTTCTTGAAGGATGTTCCTTGCAATAGGATAAACAAGGGAGGGGAGAATCCATGACTCCTACCTGGAGTGGCAGAACTGCTCCAGTGGTGAGAGGTAACGGCTCCAGATACACAGTGCGGCCGGCATGAGGAACAGCACAGCCACCCAGCAGCACGTGACTATCAACGACATGAAGAGTCCAAAGTCATGAACAGCCGGGATCTGGGAGCGAGAAGTAGAACGAACAGGATTAGAAGCGAGGACAAAAACAAAGGCAAATTACAACTGCGCCTCTCACGTTAGGAGGACAGCCCAAGATACTGGACAGTCAGGGACAGCCCAAGATACTGGGGTGGTTGGGATCAGGAGAGATGGAGGGTGAAGAGGGTAGGGGTAGAAGGGTGACCGAAGGCACAGTCAAAGAAGAGGGTCTCGAGATAGGTCTTGAAGGAGGCAAGGGAGGGACGAGGTGGAAGGATTTTGTGGGTTGGAGTTCTAGAGGATGGGGGCAGAGAGGCTGAAGACCCCCACCCCCCCCACCTCCAATTATGGGCCTCACAAGGTTAAGAGATCTTTTGAATAATTTGATCTCATCCTTCCACAATACCCACCCACCTTGCAGTAAAACCTATCAAACTCATCCAGTAATTTGCAGTGTGGATTTCTTCCTCAGTCTCTGCTGGCTCCTATCCCCTCAGCAAATCGATGTCAGGATCTTCACCCTGATCTTCAAATGCTTACATGGTCTTCCTTTCCCCAACCCCCACCCAGATCGCTGTGATCTCCTTCAGCCCCACTCCCCTGCCCACTTCCTTTCCTCAAACTGTGGCCAGCTTCACATTGCCCCAAACCCTCCATCACATCATCGGTATGAGCGGCACAATGGAGCGGGCGCAGGAGCACTGAGCGGCTGTGGCTGAGAGTAACTGACCTGGGAAAAGACATTGGCGGCATAGGCAGAGGCTGTGGTGAAGGAGGTAAAGAAGGTGGCCTTGCCGGCGGTCTGGATGGTGTGGACCATCCTGTCCTGGGCGTCTGCCAGGTGACTGGCTTGCCGGTAGGTGTTGATAAAAACAAACACATCGTCCACACCTGAAACAGCAACACCAGAGAGAGAGAGAGAGAGAGAGAGAGAGAGAAAATAGAAAGAAATTGACTCTGACAATAATCTTTCCTTCCCCATCTTCAGGTCGCGCCTGAAGACCTTCCTGTTTGACCATGTCTATGGCTACCTACCCCTCCCCCCAGTTCAGAGACATGCTCCTCCATTGTCCAGCGTTCTGGTGCGCTGCCCTGGGGGAAGGGCGCTGGGTAAAGGCAAGTTGCTGTTTCATGATAAGAGATCCAAAATTCCAACCAGTCTTAATCTGCAAAACCATTTTTGTCTTAAAGTTTAAGCACCGTGCGGGCAAAGAAGGACGGGGAGGGGAAGGGGGGTGACCAATGGCATGTCGAAGTATAGGCTCTTGAGGCGGGACTTGAAAGAGGCCAAGGAGGGGGTGCAGTGGAGTGATTGGGGGATGGAATTCCAGAAATTGGAGGCAGAATGGCTGAAGGCTCTCCCGCCAATGGTGGGGCGGGTGGGTCGGGGGACGTGGAGCAGCCAGAGCCGGCTGAGCGGAGGGAGCGGGCGGGTTAGTAGGGGGTTAGGAGGTCGCAGAGGTAGGTGGGGTGAGGCCATGGAGGGCTTTGTAGGTCAGGACCAGGATCTTGAACTGGATCCTCTGAAGGATAGGGAGCCAATGAAGTCGGGCGAGAGTGGGGGAGATGGGGTCATGGAGTTTGGTGTGGGAGAGGACACGAGCTGCAGAGTTCTGGATTATCTGCAGCCTGTGGAGGGAGGAGTTGGGAAGGCCGACAAGCAGGGCATTTGCAAAGTCGAGTCTGGAGGTGGTGAAGGCATGAACAAGAGTTTCAGCGCCTGAGGGGTGAGGTAGTGGCGGAGTCAGATGATATTACAGAGATGAGGGAAGGCATCTTCAGTCATGGCTTAGATGTGGGAAAGAAAAGTTGAGGATCGAAGAAGATCCCTAGGTTCCTGACTGGCTGGTGAGCTGTAGTGTGCAACCATGGAGGTTGATGCTGCCAGAGCCTGAAGTACAGAGACGCTGGCGCGAACCAATCAGGAGGGCCTCAGTCTTGTTCACATTCAACTGTAGGAAATTTCCCCTCATCCAGGACTTGATGTCCGACAGACAGTCTGTCAGGACAGCAGTGGTCCTGGAGTTGAGGGTGGAGGTAGAAAGATAAGAGTTGGGTGTCAACCGCATACATATGGAAGTTGACCCCATGTCTGCAGATGACGTCACCAAGGGGGAACATGTAGATATTAAAGAGGAAAGGGCCAAGGACAGAGCCCTGGGGGACGCCAGACGTGACAGTGCGGGGGCTGGAGGAGAAACTATTAGAGGCAACGAAGTGGAGAGGGTGAGAGAGATAGGAATTGAACCAGACAAAAGCAGGTCCATGAAGATTAAGTAAAGCGGAGAGGCGGTGTATGAGGATGGAGTGGTCAACAGTGTTGAAGGCGGCAGAGAGGAGGACAAGGAGGCAGAGGGAGCCCTGATCACAGATGTTCAGAATGTCATTAGTGACTGTGACCAGGGCTGTTTCCATGCTGTGGGCAGAGCAGAAGCCAGATTGGAGGGGTTCAAAGAGGGAATGGTGAGAAAGAAAGGAGCGGAGCTGGGACGCGACGACTATAATAGCCCTGACTATGGTCAATAAGTCAACACAGAGCGAGACTGTAAATGACCCCTCCACCCCACAATGCTTTGTATGGCTGAAGATACTTGCTGAATAAATTGGCTGAACCACCAGTGGCGCGATTCAAAGCCATTCTTATCAGCATCTCTGCATTTGAGTGATTTCCAGCTGAGCGCTGGTAATAACATTCCCTTCAGCCACATGGTGGTGTTATGCCAAAGGCCTGAATGAGAAAAGACTGTCAATATTATGCATCGTAAATTCATGTAATCAAGCAGGAAAATCAGCCCCCAAACTAGCCGTCAGGGAAAACCAACCAACATAGCTCAGTGTTAGAGCACTTGCCTCGCAAGCGAGAGGACCTGGGTTCAATTCCCGGGCAGGGAAAAGATTGGGCAAGTTTTCTTACTCCACACGCCTCTGTTTACCCAGCAATAAGTAGGAATCCAGATGTTAGTCGATTTGTGGAACGTTTTTCCGGAGGTAATAATCCTTTTTAAAAAAAATGTTCACTCGATTCATGTTTGTTTGAGGGACGCTGCTGTGCACAATTGGCTGCTACGTTTTTCCCACAAACTATACAGTCAATTCACTTTACAGGATATCTGTGAAGCGTTTTGAGAAGTCTCAAAGATGTGATAAGGTGCTATGTCAAATGCCAGGATTATTAGCACATCGGAGCAGGACGCCGAGCCGGGGGAGGGAGGAGATGATCGTAAGCACGGTTGAACAGGCGCGATCTGAAAAACTCCCCAGATATGCAGGAGTGGTTACGGGAGGTCACAGATGCATCACTTACCGATGCCCACGATGACGAAGGCAGCTACTCCGTTCAGAATGCCCAAGTACTGGATCCCGAAGACCACGTGGTACAGGAACAAGGACACCAGGCAGCTCAGGCCAATGCTCGCGATCCCAAAGAAAGTCAGAAATGCTGGTGAAGAGCGAAGGATGTGAACAACAACAACAACTTGTATTTCACTCAGCGCCCTTCACTCAAGGTAACATCTCTGAGCGCTTTACAGGCACCGAACAGGGAGGTGAGGAAATGTGGGAGGAAGGGAGAGTTGTGATTATATGATTATAGGTATTTCCCAATGTGAAAGGTACTATATCAATATAAATTTTATTGTATTTAAGGTGGGATTTAAAGACAAGATAGGACTTCAATTATGTGAAGAGATTTGAGAAGCTGGGATTGTTCTCCTTAGAGAAGAGAAGGGTGAGGGGAGATCTGTGGAGTCCTGTAGCTCAGTGGTTAGAGCACTCGCTTTGCAAGTGAGAGACCTGAGTTCAATTCCAGGCAGAGGGCGAAACCTTGGGCAAGTTTCCTTACTCCACACAGAGCCTAATAATAATCCCTCCAAAACCACAAACAATAATAAATGGGTCATTTTCAATCCATGACTGTTTGTGGGACATTGCTGTGCGCAATTGGCTGCCGCGTTCACCCACAAATATACAGTCAATTCACTTTACAGTGTGTTCTGTGAAGCGCTTTGGGACGTCCTCCCGACGTGAAAAGCGCTATATCAAATGCAAGGATTATTATTATTATTATTATTTATTAGAGGTGTTCAAAGTAATGAGAGTTTTGAGATAGGGAGAAACTGTTTCCCCTGGCGGGTGAATCGGTAACCAGAGGACACAGATTTAAGATAATTGAGAAAAGAACCAAAGGGGAGACTAGAAGAATTTCTTTTTCCGAGTTATTACGGTCCGAATGCACTGCCTGAAAGGGTGGTGGTTGCAGATTCGATAACAGCTTTCAAAACGGAATTGGATAGGTACTTGAAAAGGAAAAATCTTACAGGGTAAGAACTGGGGAAGGGGACTAGTTGGTAGCTCTTTCAAAGAGCACGATAGGCCAAATTGCCTCTTTCTTGCTGTACAATTCTTGATAGATGGAGGTGGGAGGATGGGGGTATGTGGGGTTGATGTGAGACAGAGGGGTAGAGGGAGGGAGTTCCAGAGATTGGGGATGTAGCATCTGAATTCTCAGCCATCGATGGTAGCACAGAGTGTTATGCAGTAAGCCCATGTTTTGCCAGGCAGAGGACGTGAGGAGAGCAGCGTTGTAGGAGAAGGTCAGAGAGATAGGGAGGTGCTGGAAGGAGGGAGGGAATATCTTCATAGTCAGCACAGGAGGAGGCTATTTAACGTGTTGTGTCTTTGCCACGGTGATCATGACAAGGTGCTACAGGACAGCATATGGTGCCAGATCTTGGCTTTGGGACTATTGAAAGGGAATCAAGATCAATAGATGGGTTCAGATGAAGGAAACATTCAACCCATCTGATCTCATCCTGCCAGAACACAAATCCCACCATCCACCCATCAACAACAACAACATTTTGCTTTTATACAGTGCTAACTGCTGCTAAGTGCACTTGTAGGCAAACACAGCATCTAACTTGTATACAGTGAGGTCCCACACACAACCATTGGGTCAATGACCAATTCCAAACTAGTGAGGTTTCCCAAATAAGGAAACCTGCCTATGTCCAGCACAGATGTGCACAGCCTCCCGGAGTGACGTACCCTGCTCATTTGATATATTAAGCACAAGTCGTATTAGGACTTAAATCTTGGGGACCACATAGGGCTCGGGTTCGGGTAACTGCTGAAGATTAATCAATGGAAACAATGCCAGTGCCAATCTAATGCTTGCCAAGCTGGGACCACTCTACCACTCATTTTAGGGTTAAGAATTCGATCACGGAGTTTGTGGGATGGATAAGAGCACTAACCTGAGAAGGAGGTGAGGACGTACACAACGACCGCAATACATCCACTGCTGATGGAGGCCAGCAACATGTCATTGTTGAAAGTCCGTCTTACTTCGTAGTCAAAGAGATCCGTGCCCCCATACAGAACCTTCACCTCCCTGCACTCGGGGAATCAGGGAATCAGGCCATTGTCCAATACAAACTACATATAGCCACTTACCCACAATGTTGTCTAGGACACAAGTTGTGCAAATCACCTGCAAACACATACTTGTAGAGGGAATTACACATATGTACCCCTCAGTACCTATAATCCACGCCATCGCTTCTAATCATGTCTGGACACCTCGTTTACATAACTCCCATAATGCTCATTTATCACACACAAACATTTTAATAACTGGTGCAATACACACATGTATTTGCACTACTTGAATGACACACACACCTGTTTACTTACATGCCACACATGTACCCTTTGAAAGGGTGTAGAGATAGGGCAGGACAGGGCAGTGGCATTGAATGGGCATCTTACTCTGAGAGCCAGGGCAGACTCGATAGGCCGAATGGCCTCCTGAGCTGTAAAACTTCTATGATTCGAGGATTTTGATTGCAACACACATTCCTCGATCATCATCCCTACCTACCCAGGCACCTGGCTTGTCTTCAGCTGCCTTTGGCCACACTGGGCATGCCTTTCAAGTCTCAGATTAGCGCTGCAACACCCACTATTTCTAAGGAGATCCAAATGGTGTTGGCAGCGTTGGGTGCTCAAGAGATTTCTTCATGGTCTGTGTTTATAATAATAATAATTCTTGCATTTGATACTTATCACAACGTCGAGACATCTCAAAGCGTTTCATAGGATTCACTGTCAAATGGAGTAATTGTGTATTTTTTAAGGCAAGTTGAAGGAGTCAGTGAGCACTCATAGGAATAGATTTTGTCCTGATATTGTGAGAGAGACAAGTGTAAGGTAGACAGACAATCTAGACAGACACACAAAGGCACGAACAGGGAACATAAAAAGAATGCAGAGAGCTTGAGAGGAGGAGGAGAAGAGGACAATGGTACTCACTGTGTGCCTGGCAAACGTGACACTTGTACAAAAGACATTGAGTTGGAAAGCTGATGTGTTCTGGAGAGATCCTGAACAGACCCCCTACTCATCAGTTACCATGGCAACCAACATTCAAGCATTCGCTCTTGGGCTGTGGTAGACATTACAATGTGCAAACCAAAGTCCAGATATTCACTTCTGGTCTTAAACTAAGACCACTGTGTCTTTAAAATTAGCGATCACTCCGAACTGAGGACAAAATTCTTAAATCCGATCTCAATTTGTTATTCGGCAACTTGAATTATCCAGCACTCCTCATGGAGGATAACGTCTCAGAGCGCTTCACAATGACAGGGTTGGAAGCCGCGGAAGGTGAGGTACGTGAAAAGGGGGAAGTTGACCATAGTTGTGATCAAAGAGGTAGGTTTTAAAGATGTATTAAGATGTTTCATCTGTTCCTAAATATAAGCCGACTTTCTAAAACCACCACTGGATTTAATAATTTTTCTTCAGTGGACTGAAAGCTCAAAGTCCCCACATAAGACACAAAGCCACAACCTTCTGACCCAGGGCGAGAACTCTGCCGACTGAGCCAAGCTGACCCCCCGCTAGCTGTGGAAATGGAATCAAACTTCAGTCTCGAATTTCAAATTGCAGTGCTAAGGGGAGTCCTGATGCTTAATGGTTAGAGCGCTCGCCTCACAAGCGAGAAGATCTGGGGTCAATTCCCGGGCAGGGTGAAAGTTGGACAAATTTCCTTACTCTGCGTTCCTCTGTTTGCCTAGCAGTAGATAGGAACCAGGTCGTTAGTCAACTGACATATCGTATGCGATTGCATGCCACGATTAGCGCACAAAATATACAGTCAATTCATTTTACAGTATATTCTGAGATATCTTGACGATATGATAAGGCGCTATATCAAATGCAAGGATGATTATCATTATTATGATTTATAATAAGTGAGCAAAACAATACGGCAAAGCAACTCAATGAATTGCACGGCAATATGCAGCAGTAAAGTAAATGGAAGATTATTCAGGATATGCAGAGGGATTTCTGAAAGACAACAGCCTGGCTCAGTTGGTCAAACTCTCGCTTTGGAGTCAGAAGTTTGCGGGTTCAAGGCCCATGTTGAACCCACGACCCCACAGGACTTTGATCTCACAGTTTACACTGCCCCCCCAATGCAGTACTGGGTGGGATACTGTATGGTTGGAGGTACTGTCCTTCAGGTAAATGTGTCTCCCAGTGTCCTGGCCGACAATCCTCCAGATAAAATTCATGTCTGTTTCTGGGACATTGCTGTGTGTAAATTAGTTTCACCTACAAAATACATATTCACCACAGCTTACAGTAAATCCTGGGAAACATTTTGAGGTTGCCTCTTCATGTGAAACAACAACAACAAAATTAAGTTTATAGAGCGCCTTTCACATTGGGAGGATGTCTCAAGGTGCTGGACAGTCAGGGGTCAGGACCTGAGCATGGGGGAGGGATGGGGTAGGGGTGAGAGAAGGTGGGAGGGTGACTGAAGGCAAAATCGAAGAGGAGGGTCTTAAGACCAGCCTTGAAGGAGGCAAGGGAAGAAGCAAGGCTAAGGGACTGTGGGATGGAGTTCCAGAGTGTGGGGGCAGAGAGGCTGAAAGCCCGGCCACCGATGGTAGGGCGAGTCGGGCGGAAGACATGGAGCAGGCCGGAGCCCGCTGAACGGTAGGAGCGGGCAGGTTGGTAGGGAGTCAGCAGGTCAGAGAGGTAGGAGGGGGCAAGGCCATGGATGGCCTTGAAAGTGAGGAAGAGGATCTTGAATTTGATCCTCAGAGGGATGGGGAGCCAGTGAGTCGGGAGAGGGTGAGAGTGATGGGGTCACGGAGCCTCGTGTGCGAGAGTACATAAGTGCTATATCAAATGCAAGAAATATTATTTTATCTACACTGACACATGGCTTATAAATTCTTTCCTTTGAATTTATTCGGGATCTTAAAAGGAGAAATTAATGTTGTGTAATCTGACGTTAACTGAAGTTGTTATCTCTAACACTTGACTTCCGTCATAAGTAACTTCAAACCTTTCATCCATTATCTTTGAGAGGATTCAGGTTTTCCTTTGGTGAGCTCTTTGTTGATAATAGTACAGGTAATGTGATTTCATGATGTTCTATAACCTATAATTTCAACACTGCCTTTAACTCACTGGCTCTCAACACAACCTGTCACACACTAACCCTCTCAATGTTAGTCTTAGGTCTTGTCTTTTGACAAGATACGCAAAAGGGTTAATTTTTCTATTCCTCTACTCTCTGCTTTACTGAGAGTTTTAAATAGCTTCAGTGAAGTGCGCCGATCACTCTATCTCGGCCCAACATCAGTCATTTAGATTTAGTCAAATATTAATATTTATGATGCATTTGAACCATGCTCTCAGTTTTAATGATGTGCCTGATGATGTGTCATTTCCCATGACTTGTCCATGTCATGGGAAAAGTCATTACCGGGTATTATTTTACCATTACAAACAAGGATTCCTTTCTGCCAAGATCTACAGCTCAGACCATTTAATATTTCTGCATTGTGAAAACCTTGATTCTTTACGCTTCGGAGTTCCATTTGAACAGTGCATTTACAGAGCTAATCTGCCCACCCCTGTCCTGTGCATTTAGTGGCTACAGTGAGAGAATATCACTATAAACAGAGGAAATAGAACCAGACGAAGAGAGCACAGCTACAGAATTAGTGCAGAAACATGGCCCTGTAGCCTGGACATGACCGAGAGAGGAACACAGAGATGTGGGGAATATCTGAGTTCAGATATCCAACCATCATCATAATAATAATCCTTGCATTTGATATAGCACCTACATGAGACTCTCAAAGCACTTCACAGCTTGCCCAGAATGTTGGTTGAAGCCAGGTCATTGGACTCATTTAATAATAAGCTTAACGCTGTAATCAGCAGAATAAGAAATAAGAATACTTGCATAGAAACATAGCAGATGTGTGGAGTAAGGAAACTTTCCCAAGGTTCCGCCCTGCCCGGGAATCGAACCCAGGTCTCTCGATTGCAAGACGAGTGCTCTAACCACTGAGTTACAGGACTCCATGTCCTTAGTGGTTAGATCACTCACCTAACAAACGAGAGCACCTGGGTTTGATTCCCGGCAGGGCAAAACCTTAGGCAAGTTTCCTTACTCCACACATCTGCTTACCTAGCAGTAAGTAGGAACCCGATTGTTAGTCGATTGTTGAACCGTTTTCCGGGGTAAGAATCCCTCCAAAAAAAAAAAATGGTCACTCAATCCACTACTGTTTGTGTACGCAATTGGTTGCCTCATTTCGTTCACAAAATACACAGTCAATTCACTTTATAGTAATTTCTGTGAGGCGCTTTGAGACGTCTCGAAGACGTGATAAAGCCCTATATCAAATGCAAGGATTATTTTTATTATTAGTTACAGGACTCCACCTTTCTTGATCTTTATCTTCTTTAACGATTCTTTAACGTCCACCATTATTATAATAACCCCATTGATATTTACCAAGTTCTCACTTACTCTGGCCCTGATGATGGATTCTATCAATGTTCCCACTACTGATGTTGAACTCACTGACCTGTATTATTTGTTTTCCTCTTTACTTTCCTTCTTCAATAAGAGCACAATTAAGTTAAACATCTCAGAATTTCTCACTCAGTGATTCACATCTGTGGATACATAGCCAACTCTGGCAGCTAATCTGTTCCAGCAACACCCGACAAACAGTAATGATACAGATCCAAATCAATGGATGAGACAGGAATATTGGCCAGGACATTGGAAACAATCTCTGCTTTTCTTCAATATAGTTTCATAGGATGTTTAACATCCCCTGAATCATCACAGCAGACAGATAGAACCCCAGTTTAACATTGTGTCACTTACAACATTACAGAACGTTTACAACCAATAATGTACCACAAACAGCCATGAAGTAAATGACTAATTTGGAGTCCTGTCGTGCAGTGGTTAGAGTGCTCGCCTCACAGGCGAGAGGACCTGGATTTGATTCCCAGGCAGGATAAAACCTTCGGCAAATTTCCTCAATCCCCATACCTCTGTTTACCTGACAGTAAGTAGAAATCCGCTTGTTAGTCGATTATCGAATCATTTATCCAATTATAAATTTTTGGAGCGGGGTAATAATTTGGTCACTCAATCCAAGATTCTTTGTGGGACACAGCTGTGCGCAATTGGCTGCCGTGTTTCTCCCGCAAATTACACAATCTATTCACTTTACCATATATCAATAATAATCCTTGCATTTGATATAGCATCTTATCACATCTTCGAGACATCTCAAAGCATTCACAGAATATACTATAAAGTGAATTGACTGTATGTTTTGTGGGCAAAGGCAATATCAGACTATATAGAGGAGGTCACTGTTAATATCAGACTGTATTATTAATGGCTGCCCCAACCCACTTCCTCCTGACATTTAAGTTGAATTTGTAGACCACCATTATTCAGATGTTGGGGCAGGGGGGATGAAAGAGTGAAATAAGTACTTCAAACATATCTTAGGCCTAAGGCTTCCTCACTTAGATGTTCTCCCAATGTCAACTGTAAGGGTTATTACTCCCATCTCCCTAGGTCCTCACGAACTCGGTTTCTCTGGGGCAAGGTGATAAGGAGCTTACTTGGTGGACTGCGTGGCTAACAGGTCCACGTAGGTGACCACAAACTCCTGAAACTTCTTGTGCTGTTCCTCCCATCGATCGTCCACTGAGTAGTAGCTGGGAAGCGGAGCTCCGAACAGGATCTCGCTCCGGAGCAGTGAACTCTTCATGTTCTCTGAGGTCATTCCCTCATCCACATACCAGTAGAACTCAGGGTGGGTGATGGCCAGTTGGAGCGAACCTGGAAAAATTGGAAGTAATATTAATGTGGGGGGAAGGAAAGGGAGGACATGGGACATTCTCATCACGTGACCAAAATCGTGGTCAGATGTTGTCAATGAGACATTAAACCGAGGCCCTCTCTGCTCTCTTCCCACTGGAATGCAGGAGATTTAGAGTTTGATCGAGTAGCACTAAGAAAAATACAGTAGAAAAATGCTGCAGAAGTTAAAAGACAGTTTATTGGGAGGGCGGCTCTTTCACTACTCTCTGAGTTATGCTAATAATTCTACAAATGTTACAATGGGATTTTTCCCCCATCCAAACTTTAGGTGGCGAGTTGATGATCAAGGGGCACAGCCTAGCGGTAAAGCAAGCTGAGGAGAGGACAGGAGAGGGGAGGGAGGGGCTGAGGGAATGCTCCATAAATGTGCCGACTATAGTAACCATTAATAATTATATCCATAACAGAGAATCAGTTAATTACCACATTCAAAATTTCATGTAAAAGTACATTTAAGATGACATTTAAAGTGATTACAACGTCTCTGAAATCTACTTGCTATTTGGAGTCCTTTAATTATTCCCAACTTTCTTTCAATCTACATATTTATGAGTTTGCGAAAGCACTCTCCACCCCCACCTTATTACTAATTTATTTTGGAAATGTTGAATAGACCATTAATTTTACTTCTAAGATGAACTCTGATTAACATTCCATAATTATCCTGAAGTGGCGATGGATAGATACTTGGGAAATCAAGGTATTAAGGGAAGTAGAGAAAGGGCAGAGAAATAATAATAATCCTTGCATTTAATATAGCGCCTTATCGCGTCTTCGAGACGTCTCAAAGCGTTTCACAGAATATACTATAAAGTGAATTGATTGTAGATTTTGTGGGCAAAATGCAGCAGCCAATTGCGAACAGTAGTGTCCCACAAACAGTACACTATTGTTATAAAATATTATTATTATATTTTAATCCCACAAATGTGATGATTATAATAATAATCTTCCATTTGGTATAGTGCCTGTGGTTACTCAACGTGAAACAGACCTGTGCCAGCTGAGCACAAAGGGGCTTATAGAGGAGTGGATACGAGGGAGGTTCTGGGCTATGAATAGATTTCTAGGTGCGGGGGTAGGATCTTGAAATCGATCCTTTTGGAGCCAGTGAAGCCTGGTGAGGATTTGGATCAGGATGCGGGCGACAGAGATTTAGATACCGCAAATAAGATCCCAATTTCAGGCACCGGAAACTTTCCACAGCATAGAAACAGTACACGCAGGCTATCCACCCCATACTGCCCAGTCTCACCCCACTCTCCCGCTTGCTCCCCCCACACAACCCCTTTGCAATCTATTAACACCATACCAACCTGTCCCCTCCCTGTGCTCACCAGGCACTGGCCTGCTTCATGACCCTCGCCATGCCAGCCCCACTATTGGCGGTTGGGCTCTCAGCTTTTCTGCACCCGTCCTCTGGAACTGCATCCCGGAATCTTCCACCTCGACCCTTCCTTACCTCCTTCAAGGCCCATCTCAAGAACTTCCTCGTTGACCTTGCTCCTGGCCACACTCCCACACCCACCCCTTTGATCCCAACCCCCAGCTCAGGTGCAAAGCCTTAATTACCTTGGGACGTCCTTCCGATGTGAAAGGCGCAGTATAAATGTAATTAATTTAAAGTGCTCTGGGACTCTCCTCTGTGTGACGGGTACAGTATAAGTGTACGCTCTTCTTGATGGTGGTTTGTAATTTTATTGTTCCTGTTGTTCTATCTAATTCCCGTTAGTAAGAACTTACAGACTCTTCCTCAACAGTGGCTTGTGGCTGAGAATTTCCCATCCTCACCGCCCTCTGTGTAACTAACAACATTCGTTTCAAACTTGACTAATTCCTTTTACGATTAGCTTATATTTGCTTCTCCTCTTGTTACTGCCACACCGATTAGTGGAATTAATCACACCATCTAAAGATTGGTTCCAATGAATTTGCTTTACAGGGTCTCCTCTGACACATCCCTCTCCTTTCAAAGCCCTAGTTTGTCTAATTATTGCTCAAAGTTCATTCCTCTAACACTTGGGATCTTCACAAGATCACAGGATCGGTCTGGATGAAGAAGGCCACCATACCTTCCTCCAATCACAGGATCGATCTGCTTTTTAAACAAGTTTCACTGTCCTGGCCCTGTTGCAAGTATTAAATACCCTCAAAGTTAAATAAAACCTTCTGGTGTTTGTCCTGAAATTGCTCTGCCCAACTCTAAACCAATGTCCTCTTGTTCTACTGCCTTGGCATCCCAAAATTGTAATCGTTAAAATCATTCAATTATTATTAATTATCAAAATTATTTTGCCACAAATTACAGTCAATCTACTAACCATATATCCTGTGAAGCGCTTTGAGATGGTCCAACAAGGTGATAACGCGCTATATCAAATGCAAGTATTGTTACTAGTATTATTATCCTAAAGTATTGATCTGGGTTTACTTTTTCAATCCCAATTAAAGACATTTTTTTCTCAAGACTGAAGAGCCTGAGCTTGTCTAATCATTGCTCACAGCTCATTCTTCTAATGCTGAGGATCATCCTCGCTGCTCTCCTCTCCACTGTCTCTAGTGCCTGCCAGTGCCCACTTATTTACTCACTTCAAATGAATCTCTTTCTGTGAAAGTGCTTTGAGATATTCCATTTGTCTGAAATTGGGGTTTGTGTAAAGCTGTGTTGGGTTCCGGTTGATAATAACATGGAAACGTACCCTGGATGTCAGCGAGTTCCTGGCCCATCCCATCGTAGTAGATGCGTCCCCCTTGTGCCGTGGGGAAGAAGTAGGTGAGGAGCGAGCTGGGGGGGGAGCAGTAGGAGTAAGGCCCAAGAGGCATGTCTGTAAGGACCTCGTGAGGCTTCCAACAAAACTCCCGAAACCTGGGGTGGTCCATCACCTTCCTCTCCACCTCGTGGATGGTCAGCAGACGCTCTTTGGTGAAGATGTTCTTCTCCTCATCCCCCCTGGCCAGGAACACCAGCTCCATCCGCCACAGGGCGTGGCTCTGCGTGTCTCTGTTCACGTAGCTGTTTGGGAAGTTAAACCGTGGCAATGCCCTCGCCCGCCTGGTCCCGTGTCCCGTCACGTGGGTCTCGTCCACCACCAAAACCGCTGGCGCCTCAGCCCCTCTCCGCACCATGCCTCCGCCGGGTCCCTGCGTCGTGCTGGCCCCGCTGCTCGATTGGGAGGCGTTGCCGCGGGATCTCAGCAACTCCTCGGTCAAGAGTTTGTCCAACAAGGCGGAGGTGAAGTCAGCCAGGTCCCGCCTGCTCCTGCCCCATGCCCCAAACTGGGACTTCAGGGCAAGTGTCAGGGCGTCAAAGCGCTGCGTGGACTGATGGTTCCTCACCTCGAAGGCATTGTAGGAGATGTCGATGTCCAGCGTGGAGCAGTGCATCAACATGACGAGGATCAGCATCGCTGGGATCACACAACCAACCACCAGGATGAAGGCGGCGCAGGATGGGTTCGTGAATATCCAGCCAACAATCCCCCAAAACCCTCTGCGTCTCAGCTCAAACGCCAAGCTTTTCGAGCTGCAGTGACATTTACAGCAGGATCTCTCTCCCCCGAGGTGGCCCTCACCTTCCTCCCCCTCCTCATCTTCCTCCTCCACCCACAGTGGCTGCACCAAAGGGTCATCGTCGCTTTCCATTTCTAAGGGCTCCGCTTTTGGGGGGAGGGGTGGAGGGGGAAGAGGAGAAGTAGCAGGTGGCAGAGATGGGGGTGGGGAGGAGATGAGGGGGCACGAGGGTTGGGAGTGAAGGAAGAAGGACAGATCTTCTCAGGTAACACGTGAAAGAAGCTCCCTGTCCTACGTGCAAGTCCACATGAGCAGCCGGGATGATTCACCTGCAATAGGAGACAGAAGGGAAGGTTGGGCCAGGTTTAGATTGATCTGAGGAACATTTTAGACAGTCCAAAATCCAGCTGATTCTTAATATGCAGCCTGAATTTTGAAGCCTTTTTTTTGGTAAGTTTCTCTTAAGAACTATAGAAAAAAACACAATTGAAATTTAAGACTGAATGCAAAAATTTGTCAGAATTGTCCAGGCTGCTCCAATTCTTCCTCAATCGGATAAATAATAATTATAATAATCCTTGCGTTTGATATAGCACCTTATAACATCATTGAGATGTCTCAAAGCCCTTCGCAGAATATACTATAAATTATTTTGTGGGCGAAACGCAGCAGACAATTGCGCACAGCAGTTTCAATCAAACAGTCATGGACTGAATGACCAAATTATTCTTAATATTTTTTAAAGGATTATTACCCTTGAAAGTAATTCGCCAGTTGAATAAAAACTGGGTTTCTACTTACTGCGAGGTAAACAGAGACGTGTGGAGTAAGGAAACTTGCACAACATTTTGCCCTGCCCGGGAATCCAACCTGGGTCCTCGTGCTTACGAGGCAAGTGCTCTAACCACTGAGCTACAGGACTCCAAATCTAGGGCCATGAGGAATTTCTCCTACACAAATATCTTGAGGCTTGAGGCTCCTGCAACAATTTACTGCCATAACAAGCAGACTTCAGAATCAGTCCTGATATCTGAGCTGCAAGAAACCCCATCAACTGGTTGAAACATAATTAATTTGGGTTTCTGCTTGAGTTACTGTCCAATGTGAAACCATTTTTTATGTTTTACACAGCAGCACTCTCTCTGTCAGCATTACTAAGTCATTATTTAAAACCTATGAGTAATTTATTCAGGTTGTAATTAACTTGTAATGCACACAGAATTACAACATACAGCAGTTTAGAATTTCCCTTAGACCAAAAGGCGACCTCATCACATCAAGACGTCTCAAAGCGCTTCACAGGGAACTGCTGTCAAGAGGATTGTTCCGAGCTTCTCCAGGCAGGATTGGGACCCGGGACGTCCTCCTGACCTGAAAGGCGATATACAAATGTCATTTGTTGTTATTGCTCCATTGGGGTGTCAGCACAGACAAAAAGTCCCGACATGGGGCTTGAACCAACAACATTCTGACTCAGAGACGGGAGAGTCTGTCCTGAAATTGCCCTTTACAAATCTAAACCTGTGCCCTCTTGTCCTACTGCTCTCAGTACATCATATGATATTGTTCTGTGTTGATTTTTTCCAAACCCAGTTAAGATATTATACATCTCTATGAGGTTCCCCTCTCATGTTCAATCGTTGCTCAGAGCTCAGTTTTAGAATACGTTACATAGAAGTAAATGGAGCAGCACAGCAAGAATCAGGCCATTCAGCCACAAATGGTCCAGTGTTTATACTCCACATGAGCCCCATCATGGGAGTCACTATTCCTCCACACATCGCTGTGTGCAAAATTGCAACCGCGTTTGCCTGCAAGTACACAGTCACCACAATTATAATCCTTAATAGTAATAATCCTTGCATTTGATATAGCACCCCATCACATCTCTTTGAGATGTTTCAAAGCACAGAATATCCTATAAAGTGAAACTCCCTTTCCTTTTCGAATAGCGACCCCATTTGTGGGCAAAACATGCAGCCAATTGCGCACAGCAGCGTCTCACAAACAGCCGTGGATTGAGTGACCAAATTATTATTTTTTAAAAATGTTTTGAAAGGCTTATTAAACCTAGAAAGCGATTCACCAATCGACTAACAATACTATAGCTCAGTGGTTAAAGCACTCATCTCGCAAGCGAGAGACCTGGGTTTGATTCCCGGGCAAGGTGAAAAGTTGGGCAAGTTTCCTTACTCCACACACCTCTGTTTACCCAGTAGCAACTAGAAACCCAGTTGTTTGTCGATTAGTGGATTAGTTTTCCAGAGGTAATAATTCCTTCAAAAAAAATAAATTGGTCATCAATCTACGACTGTTTGTAGGACAATGCTGTGGGCAATTGGCTGCCACAAATCACTCATGAAATATACAGTTAAATCACTTTACAATATATTCTGTGATGCGCTTTGAGATGTCTCGAAGATGCGATATCAAATGCAGCGATTACTATAACCACCGGTTCCTACTTACTGCGAGGCAAACCGAGGCGTGTGGAGTAAGGAAACTTGCCCGATGTTTATCCCGTGAATAAACGTAATCCGTTCATTTCATTCATCGAGATGTCTTAAAGCTGTTATCTGTGAGGCACGTTGAGGCAGATCAAATGCAAGGATTATTAATAATTGTCACATTGCGTCTCATTTCACTACTCCACCGTTTTAATTCACAGAAAGGATCTCTTCAAACATCTCCGCACTATCCCCCGACCTAAACACTTCACTGAGCAAACATTGAGGTCCTGTTTCTTGGCATTTGCCCTTCGATTAGTTCCGGTATCCTCGGATTAATACACTAATCCTTATGTCAGTCAGAGTACAGCAACTCTCTACGGACAGAGCATTACTGTTAAATAATAATACACGGAGCTTTGACGCAACAAACCCAGACGCAGGGTATTTTGTTCAGCGCATCAAAAGATGCAGAGCACAGACAGGCACGTTATTGCAAATCCCAGACATGCATTTTCAAACACTCGGCCAGAAAACCTGCAGCTCTGACCCGAGGCTACGCTTTCATTCAGCAAATCTACAAGCAACTGTTTCCGTAGCAACCAGGAACTTACTTCAAACCCCCCCACACACACACACACACACACCCCACACACCGGCTGCACACAGAATATTATGGTAAATAATAATCATTTAATACAGTGCTTTATCATGTAGTTGAGACGGCTCAAAGCGCTTCACAGGATTTACTGTAAAGTGCAGTAACTGTGTGTTTTGTGGACGAAACGTAGAAGCTAATTGTGCACAGTAATGTTCCATAAGGAGCACTGGATTGAGTGACCAAATGTATGGGGGGATTGTCAGCCAAGACGTCGGGAGAGAGAAACTCCCCTCTTCGAATGGTGACCCCTTTTTTTTTGAAGGGATTATTATCCCTGGAAAAGCAATCCGCCGATTGACTAATAACCACATCCCCACCTCCTGCTCAGCAAACAGAGACGTGTGGAGAAAAAAACACTTTCACAACATTTCGTCTTTTCCGTGAATCGAACCCCAGACTTGTGAGGCGACGGCTCCAACCACTGAGGATCTGTCATCGAGTCAACGCACTGAACTACACACATCTACACTCAGGTTACACACTGGACATTAGAGAATCAACCAACACAGTCACACACTCACACACACACTCACACACACTCACACACTCTCACACACTCACACTCACACACACTCACACACTCACACACTCACACACACACTCACACACTCACTCACACACTCACACACACACTCACACACTCACACACACTCACACACTCACACTCACACACTCACACACACACTCACACACTCACACACACACACTCACACACACACACACACTCACACACACTCACACACACTCACACACACACACTCACACACCACACACTCACACACACTCACACTCACACACTCACACACACTCACACACACACACTCACACACACTCACACACACACACACACACTCACACACACACACACTCACACACTCACACACTCACACACACACACTCACTCACACACTCACACACTCACTCACACACTCACACACACTCACACACACACTCACACACTCACACACACACACACACTCACACACACACTCACACACACACACACTCACACTCACACACTCACACACCACACACACTCACACACACCACACACACTCACCACACACACATGCACACACACACGCACACACACACACTCACACACACACCCCACACTCACACACACACCACACACACACATACACTCACACACACACTCACACACACACACACCACAGACACACACACACACAACAACAAGATTCCATTTATAGAGCACCTTTCACGTCAGGAGGACGTCCCAAGGCACTGTACAGTTGGGTCATGACCCGAGCATTGGGGGGAAATGGTCAGGGTGAGGGGAGGGAAGGGAGGGAGCGAGGAGTGGGGAAATGGTCAGGGTGAGGGGAGGGAAGGGAGGGAGTGAGGAGGGGGTAGAGAGTCGAGAGAGGAGCTGAAGGCTGAAGGTCAAAGAGAAAGGTCTTGAGACGGCCCTGAAGGAGGAAAGGGAGGAAGCGGCGAAGGCCCTGGGGATGGAGTTCCAGAGCCTCGGGGCTGAGAGGCTGAAGGCCACCGATGGTAGGGCGGTTGGGGCGGGGGATGGGGAGCAGACCGGAGCCGGAGGAACGGAGGGTACGGGCGGGTAGGTAGGGGGATAGTAGGTCGGAGAGGTAGGATGGAGCGAGGCCGTGAATGGCCTTGTAGGTGAGGATGAGGATCTTGAATTTGATCCTCTGGGGGATGGGGAGCAGTGGAGGCGAGCGAGGGGGAGGGTGAGGGCGAGGGTGAGGGGGAGCACGAGGACGAGGGTGGGAGTGAGGGTGAGGGCGAGGGTGGGAGCGAGGGTGAGGGCGAGGGTGAGGGTGAGGGTGAGGGTGATGTGGGCGCGGTGTCTGGTGTGGGACAGTACACGAGCTGCAGAGTTCTGAATGACCTGCAGTGTGGAGGGAGGGCCGGGAAGGCCGAGAGGAGAGAGTTCCCATAGTCCGGCCTTGAGGTGATAAAGGTGTGGACCAGAGTTTCAGCCGCGTGAGGGGTGAGGTAGTGCCGTAGTCTGGCGATGTTCCGGAGGTGATGGAAGGCGGTGCCGGTTGTGGTGCGGATATGAGGGAGAAAGGACAGCTCAGGGTCGAACAGAACCCCGAGGTT